TAATACTAACATATATTAAAAAAAATGTGGCCCTCCACGGGCGGTTATCCCTCTCTAAGCTCGGGTCCTCTACCAGCAATAGAGGGTTGGTTGTAGAGCGAGCAATTTCACCCTACATAACAATCTTTTGATTACATTTGCTGTTATAACATTTAACAATACAGGACAAAACTGATGTGTGTAATGTGGATCTAGACAAAGCATTAAAATCATTAAGTGTTGTTAATGTTGAAATTATTATTTGAAGTTCTAAACATATTTAGGGTGTTTTTTTTACTCACTTTTGTCTCTCCCACAACGTTATTCCTCTCTCCTACAGCGTCCGTTAGTTATTTGCAAATTGCCAATTATGCAAATTGGGCGATGACTTCATTTAGCGACTTCTAGCGACTTTTGGGACAGCCAATAGCTACTTTCCTTACTGAGGAGTTGGCAACACTGCTATAGCGTCGTCCTGAGGGTAAAAGTTCAAACTGCTCCCTCAGGGGGTGGTCCAAAGAACCAATTATAGAATTGGCCGTCCTCAGCACCAGCTAACTGTACAGGTCTCTGGGCTGAGCCTGTGTTCTCCCTGACCCTGTATACTGTACAGGTCTCTGGGCTGAGCCTGTGTTCTCCCTGACACCTTACTGGCCACTTTAAGCAGACTGCCAGGTCTGTTTTTGATTGCTAGGGATAGGCTACCAAACCATGCCCTCTGTTGGTTCAAGAGAGTAACTGGGGTGGGGGGCACTTTTTAATAAATGATTTCCAGCTCAAGACACGGCTCCGTCTGTCTCACACCTGCTACACTTACATCTAACTAAATAACGAGCGCCATGAAATTAGCCAATTGGTCAAACTCAAAGTGAAAGGGGTCAACATTTGGGGTACTTTCATGTTGCATAATATGGTCTTTCACAGGGTCTCTCACACAGGGTCTCTCACACAGGGTCTCTCTCACAGGGTCTGTCACAGGGTCTCTCTCACAGGGTCTATCTCACAGGGTCTCTCTAGTAGGGTCTCTCTCACAGGGTCTCTCTAGTAGGGTCTCTCTCACAGGGTCTCTCTCACAGGGTCTCTCTCAGGGTCTCTCACAGGGTCTCTCTCACAGGGTCTCTCTCACAGGGTCCATCTCAGTGTCTCTCACAGGGTTTCTCTCACAGGGTCTCTCTCACAGGGTCTCTCTCACATGGTCTCTCTCACAGGGTCTCTCTCACAGGGTCTATCTCACAGTGTCTCTCGCAGGGTCTCTCTAGTAGGGTCTCTCTCACAGGGTCCATCTCACAGTGTCTCTCACAGGGTTTCTCTCACAGGGTTTCTCTCACAGGGTTTCTCTCACAGGGTCTCTCTCACAGGGTCTCTCACAGGGTCTCTCTCACAGGGTTTCTCTCACAGGGTCTCTCTCACAGGGTCTCTCACGGGGTGTCTCTCACAGGGTGTCTCTCACAGGGTGTCTCTCACAAGGTCTCTCTCACAGGGTCTCTCTCACAGGGTCTCTCTCACAGGGTCTCTCTCACAGGGTGTCTCTCACAGGGTGTCTCTCACAGGGTCTCTCACAGGGTGTCTCTCACAGGGTCTCTCTCACAGGGTGTCTCTCACAGGGTCTCTCTCACAGGGTTTCTCTCACAGGGTCTCTCTCACAGGGTCTCTCTCACAGGGTCTCTCTCACATGGTCTCTCTCACAGGGTCTCTCTCACAGGGTCTCTCTCACAGGGTCTCTCTCACAGGGTGTCTCTCACAGGGTGTCTCTCACAGGGTCTCTCACAGGGTCTCTCTCACAGGGTCTCTCTCACAGGGTGTCTCTCACAGGGTCTCTCTCACAGGGTTTCTCTCACAGGGTCTCTCTCACAGGGTCTCTCACGGGGTGTCTCTCACAGGGTGTCTCTCACAGGGTCTCTCTCACAAGGTCTCTCTCACAGGGTCTCTCGCACAGGGTCTCTCTCACATGGTCTCTCTCACAGGGTCTCTCTCACATGGTCTCTCTCACAGGGTCTCTCTCACAGGGTCTCTCTCACATGGTCTCTCTCACAGGGTCTCTCTCACATGGTCTCTCTCTCACAGGGTCTCTCTCACAGGGTGTCTCTCACAGGGTGTCTCTCACAGGGTCTCTCTCACATGGTCTCTCTCACAGGGTCTCTCTCACAGGGTCTCTCTCACATGGTCTCTCTCACAGGGTCTCTCTCACATGGTCTCTCTCACAGGGTCTCTCTCACAGGGTGTCTCTCATATGGTCTCTCTCACAGGGTGTCTCTCACAGGGTCTCTCAGGTAGCGATGTGTCATGGAGCAGATGTTTACTGTGCGTGTGTGTGTGTGTGCTTGTGTGTCTGTGCGTGTCTGTGTGCGTATATGTATGTGTGTGTGTTTGTGTCAGTGTGTGGGTGTGTTTGTGTGCGTGTCTGTGTGTGTCAGTGTGTTTGTGTGTGTGTTGCTGTTCCAGAGAGAGAAAAACACATACTTTTAAAGATAACTTCCGCTGTATGTCACACACACACAGACCGTGACCATTGTCATTAAGTATTTATCAGGTTAAACCTATGTTTGTCAGTAAGTTCAACAGTGTCACTTTTGCGAGGCGCGGTAAATCCACTCTCCATTTCCATAGCGATGATGGACGTGTTCAGAGAAGTTAGACATTGTTAATAAATATGAAAAAGTCCCATAAAAGGTGTTCACATCATGTTTATGTTAATATCGCCCGCTGCACTTGAATATGATTTGAGTACTTCTTTCTCAAGTTTAAAGCTGGGGTTCCTAACTTTCAGAGCAAAAGACAATGAACTGTTAAAAAATGTTAAAAATTCAACTACGGCAGTTTCTCTCAAAACAGTTTTCTTCATCACCAGTTTTCACAGAAGTGTTTTGGTTTTGTTTAAGTCGCACTCAGCCCAATGTCTTTTTTGGAAGAATACAAAGGAAAACAAAAGGAAAGGACATAAACGTTGAACTCGAAACCTCTTTGGGGAATTTCTCACTTAGTTTTAGGCACAAGCTGCATCTCTGCCATTTTGTAGAGACCTATAATAGAAAAACTAGTAGATTTAAAAAAAAAAAAAAAAAAATTACATTACATATAGAAAATCAAAAACAAGGTCAAGATTATTTTTCCAGACAATAAAAAAATAGATACAGCGTGAAATATAATACTGGTGCTGAGTTAAAAGCCAGAAATGTGTCTTTAGCTGTGATTTGAAGCTCTCTACAGGGGCCTTAGTTCAGGGAGAGACAGTTCCATGTTTCAGCCTGAGCCCAGAGAACACAGGAGACACACAGATGTTCAGACATTTAACGGCCACATTTTAAAATAGAGTTTGACAACATTTTCAAAAGTAAAAAGTTGTGTATGAATTCACAGTGATGCCTCTGATTGGTTTCTGGTCCATGATCTTAGTCAGAGGTCACTGGTTTGAGAATAGAAGCTGATGTTTGGGACCATGTGACAGATGTGAAAAGACCAGTATATCATATCTTAGAATTATTGGAGTTATAAAACCTGCTCTTGGCATGTGTAACTCTATGGAACGTTTATCGATTACTTAAAATGACTGACAATGATTCAATAATGGCTTAGTTCTGATGGATCAATGAACTCGAGAATACTTGTTTACTTCTGTGATTCAACTGACAATGTGACACTAACATGTGCCTCATTCCTGCAGAGTGAGATGTACCGAGACATAGATATAACCTATACTTTGGGTTAAGATTCAGCGGGGAAATGTCAGTGTTGTATCACCGAGTACAGAACCGCAGGAATGAGGAGCACACAGCACAATAAGGTCTACAATAAAATAGAAAAAATATATATATTTCACTTTAGCAGAATAAAGAAGCAACAATGAAGAAAAATGTTCTGAGTTCCAACGGTATTTGTTTGGATGCACATCTAGACTTAGACCGATCCAAAGGGAAATTGCGTCGTCACAGTTGCTTGCACATAGTAACAATCTGAAAATAGTAATAAAAAGATAATATTGTGAGAATAGAATAATCTGGACATAGGTACTCAGGATTATACATATCTGTGAATATGTACACATCTACGAACCCCAGCTGGAGGACCCCACGTGTGATGACCCAAAGACCAGCACAAACCCCTGCTCCCCTCGGTCCCAGCCGGGGCCTGTGCGAGCCGCCAGGGCCCTGCGTCACACTCTGGCCCCTGTCATTACACCAGCTCTTTGTGACTCAGCCATTTCATATGTTAATCCATCTCTTGTGATTCCTTTTGATTCCTATCTCCCGCATGTTAACTGTGAACACACGCATGCGGCTCTCGGCTGTAATTGCCTTTTGAGGGATAATTGTCACGAGGCTGTTCTTTGCTCAGAAGCACCTGCGCAGGGATCAAAGCTCTGGCTGTTTGGACCGGCTTTGTTTCAAGAGGGCCTTCTTACGAGCACATATTGTCAAGTAATTGCCTCTCTCAAGACATTTCTATTGCATCTACTACATGTTTGCCCTTAAGATCTTGAAAGAGGGTCAGTGCAGTACAGTTTGTTCACTATGATCTATGGAGGTTAAATGTATATGTGTTTTTCCAGCGCTTCAAGACAACCACTGGAAACTATTGAGAACTTATATTTATGTAAACATGTTTGCACACTTTTGCCTTTTTGCGCAATCTGAGTGACTCTATCCATGTAAATTTCTCCAGTGTGAGATCAATAAATCTTATCTTATCTTTACAAAGTGGCCAGGAGGATCCGTCTTATCAAAGGGTCTTGGTTTTTAACAATTGGCAAATAAATGTCTTTGATGGGCATGTAGCCACTGTGTCTCATGATAGTTTATGGTGAAATTGTAAACCGTGGTTATATGAGTGGGATGGGGCTTCAAATATAGGAGATAAAGTGGTGTGGGATGATGCACTTTGGGGGCGGGGACTGCGTGTTTGGGTTGGGGTATAAATGAGACAGAAATTCACCCAAGAGAGCGAAGGCAAAAAAAAAAGGCTTTAGCGTTGGTTTTTGGTTTCACATGTGCAGGTTTGGGTGTGATTCAATGGATCTTTGGAAAATGCAGCTTTTTCTGGTGACTTTTTTGTGGCTGGTGCAGCTGGATGTGGGGGTGGGTTTCTCAGAGGAGGATGGAGAGGTGTCGGCAGAGGAGTGGCAGGTAATGGAGCCGGCAGCATCAGGGAAAGAAACTGTTGTTGTAATGGTTGTGGTGGGTTTGGGGGTTTGATCACAGCAGGATGCAGCTGTGGATCCGGGTCTGACGGCGGCTGTGGAGGCGCTGGTGAAGAGGTCCAAGGCTCTGCGCTTCTACGGACTCATGGGAAAACGCTCAGGAGCAGGTGATTGCTTCAAGCCTTGTATATACTTTTATGTTTGTCTGTTTGCAGCACTGGCTAAAATGTGCTATATATTATTCATATAACTTGGATGGTGTTTTAATATACTTATTGAATATAATCGGTAATAATTGATGAATAATAGTAATAATAATCTAATTGAAGAGTAATGTGGAAAAACTAAAATGCTTTTTTCATTCCATGTTTTGTGTGACTTGTAGATTGTATTTTAAGTCTTTAGTTCCTGGATTGGTCTGTGGAATGGTCTTGTTCTTGAAATTAAATCAAAAACAAAAACTACATCTTCTTTTGAATACATTTTCACTCCTTATTTCTTTTGCTTCCCCATTTTTAGCCAACGAGAAACCAATTAAAGTAGATAGAAGTAAGTAGAAAGCAGCTTAATGGCATTATTTGAATAATGGAAATAGAATAAATGTAAAATGGTTTATTTCCAGAGAAGAAAGGAGAGATGTTTGTTGGTCTGATGGGACGGAGCGTATCAGGTGAGACTCCATTCAACTCATTTGAAGTATATTTATTGATATTCAAAATATCAAATGTCGTAATATGAATGAATACAAAGCTATTTTCAATACATTATCATCATCGCAGAACATTTGCCGAGAACTCGTCCTTCACCTGCGTCCGATTCTCCGGAGAAATCGCAAAAGCAAGGTTCAGTATAAAAAAAAACAGGATATCTGTACATTTGTGCATTTTCAGGGTTTCATTTCAAATTCCGACAGGTTCTCAAGAGGAATGGCTCCGGATCATCTACTGACGGAGCAAAAAGAAGAATCTATACAACATGTCATCAACCAAAGAAGAGAACTACACTAAAACACACTGCTGTAAATCTCTATGCTAATAAAGAACCTAAATCAGACAAATAGAAATGCAACTCAATGGTCAAAGGTCGTAAACGCTGAGAAACACAAAAACAAAAACAGTGTGGCACATTTGACATTCAATGAAAAACACATTTGGACCAGAACAAATCCCGTGAGTTCTTTAGAGGCAGATCATCAGTCAGAAGCACACACAGAGGACAGCAGTGAAACAATACTGGGACATGAGAGCGTCGAGGCTACTTGTGGCTAGAGGCTGAAAAGTTTATTGAGCGGCTGCTTATGTGCCTTTAGGGGGGGTCCATTTGAGCGAGCCGGGGTCGATGGTCTTGTTGCTGTTCCCTCTCTTGATCTCTTTAGCTTTCCACTCGTCGATGAGGTCCTAGGAAAAAGCCCGGTGTGTAGAAAGATCAGTACAGTAATGTCAAACCAGAGTTCAACTGTGTTTTTCTATAATCATCGGGAAGATATTTGTTTGTCATTTTGTCATTTCAACCATAAAATACACTAGTGTTTTTCGACCACTGGGCCGTGGCACGTTGGTGTGCCTCGAGATGCTTATTAGTGTGCTATGGAAATGATCCAATATCACCTGCTTGGTCAAAATCATGTGAAATTAAAATAATGTGAGGTGATTTGCAAGATTTTTTTGTGCTCGTTTGATTTACTTTATAATAAATGTTGATGAAAATGACTTTGCTTTGTTAATAAAGAGTTTCAATTGTGAATCAAATTTAGCTGGTCAGAATCAGAATCAACTTATTGCCATTTGCAGAATACGCTACACTGTAATTCAAACAAGAGACACCGGGGGCACCAACACCACGAAGCACATAAGTTGGTGGTGTTGCCATATGACTCAAAAAGGTTGTGGAACACTGCGATACACATGTACATTCTTGCCTATGCATATAATTAGTTGAATAAACATGTGTCCTACAAGTCCCAAGTGCTGTAGCTATGATCTGACTAGTTTACATTCATGTTGCTAATCTGTGCTTTGACTTGCCAAAAACAAAAAAGTGCTACAGAAGAGAATCTCACCTGCCGCTTTAGGACCAGGTGCTTTCCTTTCCAGTACTTGAGCATTTGGAGCGACTGCAGCGTGCTCACGATGTCCACGGGATTCACCGCCGTTTCCTGACTGATTTCTGAATTAAAAAGATGAAAGCGTTGGTGTCGTTGAGCCGTCACTAAACCCCAAGAGGAAGCTGATCACGTACGGATATGACCTACCTTTGATGGAGATCTCCTTCCCTTGAAAGTTACACATGTATCTCAGGAGAACCTCTTTCCAGTAACTTCTGTAGCTGATGAGGCCCAGGTCAGACAGCGGCCTCTCCGGAGAGCCCACCTTCTCTTCCACTTTAGACAGAAGATAGCCTGCACGAAAGCACAGAGAGGACTCATTTATGCCATGTAATACAGCTATACAGGAGGATTTCAGCAAATGTTTGGAAAGAACCGCCCTGTCCACTTTTTGAACAAAACTTTCTGGTCTTAGTTGACGACCACGTATCACCAAATGATTAAAAATTAGGAGGACCAATAGTCTTGATGATCCACCCAAAGATAAGCTTTATAAGATAGACTTTATAGATCTCACACTGATAGAATGACTCGGATTGAGCAAAAGACAGAAGTGTGCCACATGTTAAAGGTTAAAAATATAGTCTGTGCAGGTTATAATTAAAAAAGTGGCAGTAGCAGTGCTGTTTTTTTCAGTCCTTGTGCATTAGTGACTTAAAGTGACTTATTGTACAGTCTGACTGCGTCTCAGCTCCTCCTCAGTCCTGTGCAGTGGGAGGTGTTGTCCATGATGGAGGTGACTTTGGCTAACACCTCCTGGCCCTCACCTCCTCCACAGAGTCATACCTTCTCTATTCTCAAAGTGTATCGGAACTGCACTTACTGAAATCAATGAGCATCTTTCCAAAGCCTTGCCTCATGTACTGTGGCATTGTGAGAATACAAGACACGTTGTAATTGAGGAAGGAGTTCTTTTCCTGAAATCAAAAGAACAAGCAATCATAAAGAATTGTTACCAAATCAGTTATTGAAATCATAGTCAACAAATTCAGTGTTTTGAGGACTGACATAGTTTTAAACAGACTCAATAACGTTATCTAATCAATAACATACATCACTAATAATGAACTAATAACTTGACTTTTACCTTTGAGAAATAGCCCACTAAATGACAGCCGGTGTTGTCAGCGTCTGTCATCACATAAAAGAGAAACGGCTCCACGTCATAGTACAGCGTTTTGTGGTCGAGGAAGAGTTTGGCGAGTAGGCACAGGTTCTGGCAGTAGATCTGGAAAGGGATAAGGAGAGAGTAACCAGGCCTTCAAACCCGGACGACATCAAAAACACACCTTGTTCTTTTTCCCATCGACTTCAAACACTGATATTGCACTTTTCCGGTAAACCTCATCGCCCGGAGGATGCTTCCACACGCACTTGGCCTGAAAATACGATAATGTCAAGACATATTCAACGATACAGTTCAGTGATTGTGTAGAAGTCTCAGGTCTGACCATGTGCCTCCTCAGAATGGTCTGGCTCTTCATGTACTTCAGGCAGAACTCGCACACGTAGAGGCGGCCCAGGCGAGCGTACTCCTCCGGATAAGGCGAGTGGTACCATGTGTCCAGCTCGTATCGGCCGAACAAGATGGTCTTTATCATGTTGCTGCCCTCTGTGATCTGGCCCTGGATACGCAGCTTCTCCTGCATGTCCATCAAACGCGTATTATTGATAGATGCTAATTAATATGAATAAAAAGGTGTTAGCAACGGACAGTTACCAGGTCTTCTGACGCTCGAGCTTGGGCCTTCCTGAACAGCTCTAGGTCATATTCACTGGTGATGTTTTCCAAAAGGGGTTCCCTGGTGTTGCCATGAGTCTGCCGATGCTCCTGTGAATGAATATTAACAAAAGATCGTAAGAAGATGAGGCTATTTGTGGTTTGACAGTGCTACAGATCAGCACAAACCAAATGCTTTTCTTTTTGCTCCTTTTGTAGACCAGAGTTTCGTCCTTTCCTCAGCTCATTCACATGCTCCCTGTAGCGGCTCTGTTTGGTGGTTGGGGTCTGGGATGAGAGACACAAGAATAAGACACTCATAAACTTTCGGTTCAGTCCAACCGATCACGTTACCTGATGGCGAGTCGCATGTCGAGAATTGCTTTCTTCCTGTACTTTCATTTCCTCTTCTTGTTTGTCGCGGGTGATGGCTTTAACCTGTGACGGCAAAACACATTCAACTTTCTTTATTGCCATTTTTGTTTCAAACTAAACTTTCTTCATTATATAAATCAGAATCAGAAACATTTTTATTGCCATGTAAGTAAAAGGAAGTCAAAGACTAGGAAATTGCTTTGGCTCTTAGTGAAAACAGTCGAAAGAAGAGATGTAGACAATAGAGTAAGGCATAGTGAAAATCAGCATACAAGATATTAAAATATCAAATATTACTATATACAATAATTACTATATATAAAAACAAATTATGTTATTAATAATAATTATGAAAAAAATATTGACAATGCACAAGCTAGTGCCTCGACACTCACCTTACATTCATCAGCGGAGAGATTGTGGTAAAGAGGGCAACCTGATACAGCAAAATGACGCTCGTGCTTCCCTGTAAGATGGCCTGCAGGGACAGTTCAATCAAATCCTTGTAGTTTGGCATTGATCCAAGACAAACCTGCTCAGAATGTTGTATGCATGAGATTCATTACCGAGTGAATTGCAGCCTGGAGTGGGGCACTTCATGTTGAAGTTGTACGTCTCGTGACAGCGGCGGCGCTTGGGTCGATGGGAAAGGTCCTTATCGGAGTCTCTGCAGGTCTGGTCTTTGGCCTGGCTCTCATCATGAGAAGCATTGGGACTGGAAATGTCCAGCTCGGACTCAGAGGAGGGGGCGTTTCCTGTGGGTGTCAGCGGAGGGGACTCGTCGTGGTCAGCAGCGCGCTTCAAGTCTGGGGTATCTGACACAGAGAAGCCACAGTGTTGACGGAGAAAGAGAATTATACATTATTATTCCCACAATGACAGATAAAGTAGTGGCCCTTCTGAGCTGTGGCCTTACCCTGAGAGCTCTGGCTGAGGCGAGTGGAGGCTCGAGTGAGCCGCTGTCTCTTGGCTTGATTTCCATCACTCTCTGAGCTGTTGGTCTGCTCCCGTTCAGCAGAGGAGTCAGAATCTTCTGTCCCATCTGAGCCGCTCCCTGGCATAGGTCTCTGCTACATACAAGAGTCCAAGAGGTTCCAAGAGGTAAGGCAAGCCAGTGTCTAGTCTATTAACTGAGTTATGATTCATTATAATGACAAATACTAACACTTGTATAACACAGCGTTGCTTTTGTTGACATTACACCAAAATTCTAACAAGAAAGCACAAAATATGTCCTGCAGCCACTTCCAGACACGTAAATGGAATCTTATTACTATGATAAACAATGTCCTCCTCAGCCTATGACAAAAAAAACTATTGTCGCTCTCCACAATTGTTTACTGTTAGCTCATGCTAATGCTAAGCTAACATCTAAGCGACCTACATTTCTCACCTGTCGTCTCCGGGGCATTTCTCAGTAGATTTCACTAAGTACACTTGTTAGAAAATTATAAATGTAACAACCGCCAAAACCCGCACTAAAAAAGAGGCGAGGAAATGCTGAATTTGGCTTAATTTCTGTCAGCGACTCATGTGTAACTACACAACCACCCGCCCAGAGACGGTGCTGCTCACTTCCGGTGCAGTGCCGCGGCCTCGACACCAGGGGGCGCGGTTCTGCTTCTTCACCAGATCCATGCATGGATCTATTATATTGGATCCATGTTATTCATAGACATAAACAAGATTTCCTCCTTTCCCCATAGACTGATTTCCCCAAAAATTCCACAAAAAAATCCACTTAAAAAAAACAGACTGTAAAGACAAAGTGTCCGTTACCATCCTTTGCTTCTGGTAAATGGCCTTAACTCGTGTAATAAACGTTTACACAACATGACAAATGTTTAATAAAGAAATATTTAAATGCTTAACTTTCAGAAATCCAATTCATTGCGGTCTCCAAGAAACATTCTTCAAACAAGTTGAGACGAGAATGTACCACAGCCCATGTGAATGCAGAGAGCAATGCATTTTCAAAAGATTTACCTCATTTGGTCTTATAGTAAGTAACACTGTATGATATGTAATCTCAGGGGAATTTGTCATTCATACATTTTCAATATTTTTCATTGAAAGCTTCTGTGTGTTTTTCTTGTTCTTGAAATACAGAATTGTATTGTGATAAAATACTTATACATCCATGTAAAATACCGATATAAGGTCAATGTCATAAACGTTATGATATGTTTTGTTGTATGTTTGTGTGTGATTCAGAATTATGCACATATTTACTCAACCATCCAACAATGTCAGTATTTGGCTGGTGACTGAAAGGAGCAGAGAACTTGCATCTGTTTTCCCGAGAGTTCCAGAACAGCCCCTTTGGCCCATGTGTGATCTTGGGGAAGGGTCTGGGAGAGACACAGCCCCCTACACCCACCCCCAGCAACTGATACTACTGCTCTATATATAGAGTAACAGGCCTGGCTCCATTTGAGAACACACACACTGCATGTGGGGGCTGCAGACCACTTCTATCTTGTATCAGTGGAAGTAAAAATGAACAAAGTCATTATTCCCAGACCAGAAAACAGGTAGGGTGTTGTTTCTTCATTCTATCAGTGTCTCGACCCGAAGACTTGTGTGATTCTTTTGTACTGTGTTTTTTTTACAGCCAGCCAGCTCACGCTTTCTGGTTTGACAGAAAGAACTATGTCACCATCAATTTCGCCGTTCATAAACCAAAAGACGTGAAGGTGGATATTCAAGTCGACAAAATGATTCTATAGTGAGTTCAAAGGTTAGACATGTATTCTGCCTTAAAGCTGGGGAACCTGACTTTTGCGTATCATATTTACTATATTGTGATTGTCCCAAGAGTCTTGTAAAAGTAAAAAAATCTGACCAGAACAAGCTGTTTTCATCTAATGAGATACTTGGAATGTTTTAAGCTGAGAGCTGATTGGCTGAGGGAGGGTAGTTCGTTTTTTGCACAATATGAATTTGAAATCTTAGAAATAGAACCAAACTGTTTCAAAAACTAGGAAATATACAGATTCTTTTATGTGTGCATTTTCCCATTTTAATTTGAAAGTTAGGTACCCGAGCTTTAAGCAGCAGCTATGACTTTGAGTGTGTGTTAAGTTGCTCTGACATCTTCCTCCACAACAGCTGCAAAAACGATGAAGATGAAGAAATCTACAACGAGCTGTACTTTTATGACAACATACAAAGACATGTAAGTGTTGGGGTTGTTCTGTACACACACGGACACCGGGACACTGCAGTCTGATGTGAATGGATTGTTGCTTCCAGGACTCGAGAGAGAGAGTGTATGACCGCTCTATCAACTTCCTTTTGAGGAAATACAAACCTAACTTTGCCTGGCCCCGACTTCAGAAGAACCCCGAGAAAGTGAGTGCATGTGGAGTTTGTGTTCTCCCTGTTCCTCTCACAAACCCTTTCATCCTGAGTTCTTCTTCTGCTGCAGCCCATGTGGATCGCTGTTGACTTTGACAACTGGAGAGACTGGGAACATGAGGAAGACGATGGGAAAGAAGAATGTGAAAACTATTTGTCCGTGAGTCCGGGATATTGTTATTATTATTATTATTTGGGCGGCACGGTGGCTGAGTGGTTAGGACCTTCTCACTTCTCAGCAAGAACGTCCTGGGTTAAAATCCCGGTCGGAACAGGGCCTCTCTAAGTGGAGTTTGCATGTTCTCCCCATGTCTGCTCTGGTTTCCTCCGGGTGCTCCGGTTTGCCCTACCATTAAAAACATGCACAGTAGGTCTGGAATGCGCCTCCTGTACTGGCCCCGCTCCTGTCTCTACAATTGTAAAGCTCTTTGTGACTCTGGTCTGGGAAAGGCGCTGTATAAATAAAGATTACTTACTTACTCTATTATTATTGATTCAGAAGCTTAAACACATCTCTGACCTTTCAGATGATTCAGGAGATGGGATCAAAGAAAGGACCAGCACCGGACATGGGTGATCTCAGTGATGTAAGTGAAATGTAAAATGCGTGTATTCAAATGTTATTATTAAGCAACATCTATAAATACAGTTGAAAAATATGATAATGTTTTAATCCCTCTCTCTTTTCTCTTCTCAGTCTGACTGAACCGAGCCCATCAACCTCTGTCTTTCTGTTGAGTTTGTGTTTTTTTCTGTGTGTGAGAGAGAGACGACTGTAAATACTTTTTTTTTTTTTACACAATGTTACTGTCCTTTTTTAACATTTTATTTTCAGAATACAGTGTGGACACGTCAACAACATAAGTCTGTTCTCATCCTGTTTCCATTATTACAATTATGTTTCACACACAGTTAAAGTTTTGCAAAATACAGTATAAATTCAGAAAATCCTCTTTCTACCATAACTAAAGACATTGTCGAAGTACCTTATTATTATTATCATTATTATTATTACTATCATTATTATTATTATTATTGTTATTATTATTATCATTATTATTATTATCATTATTATCATTATTATTATTATTATTGTTATTATTATTATCATTATTATTATTATCATTATTATCATTATTATTATTATTATTGTTATTATTATTATCATTATTATTATTATTATTATTATCATTATTATCATTATTATCATTATTATCATTATTATCATTATTATTATTATTATTATTATTATTATTATTAATATTATTACCACTACTATGATAGATACATTTCTGCAGTTATAGTTTTTCTAAAGCACATCAGGTTACCTTGTGTATAAATTAAGCTAAACAAATAAACTTACCTTACCTACCTCTCATTAACATAACAGGGTCAAACATATGACTTGGGGGCTACCGGTAGCTCTCCAATACCCCTTCAGGTAGCTCCCCAACGGATTCAATATTGTATTTTAACTGTGTGTTCTCCATGATTGGCTGCAGTTATCATATGGGCTACACTTTTATCGCGACTGCTAAAGGAGTAGCTATCTGCCATTTCTGTTTTATAAAAGTAGCTCTCCAATCAAAAAAGGTGGAGATCCCGGGATTAGCCACATTACACTTTTTATACACGCTCTAGTTTAGCCCTCACTAGTTAGTGTATGATTTATAGTTAATTAGCTCTTGGTATTTATTAAGTAAGTAATCTTTATTTATGTACCGCCTTTCACAGACCAGGGTCACAAAACAACTGGTATTTTTGGGCATTTTGTCTCTCACGTATGTAAAAACAAACCGGAGTACTTGGAGGAAACCTACGCAGACACAGGGAGAACATACACACTCCGCTCAGAAAGGTCCTGTTCCGACCGGGATACGAACCCAGGACCTTCTTGCTTAGAGTGCTATCCACTGCTATCACCATGCCGCCCTTAGGCACATGTTATTCCTTATTTTACATGGCTAAGTGACGCTGTCCCATGTGGGTTAGGGTTAGAGTTAGGATACACTAATTAGCACTTAATTTGCTGTTAACTCTCCATCCATCCATTCATTCTCTTCCCCTTAATCCATTTCTGTGTAAGAGCTGCCCCCAGTACACATAGCATCAGCCCCACATTGATCCTCCTGCAAGTGGTGAGTCCACAGGAGCTGAGATCTTTCAGTGGGGGCTTCAGGCAAAGTGGGGTTAAGTGTCTTGCCCAAGGACACAACGACAGCAGTCATCAGTGGGAGTCGTGAAGTAGGTCTTATGGTGGACTCGAACCCACGACCTTCAGGCTCTAAGGCCAATGCTCTACCAACTGAGCCACTATCGCCCAATAAATTAGCTGTTAACTAGTGAGGGCTAAACCAAAATGTTTGCAAAGAATTTTGAGTAAATGAAATACTAAAGGATAAACAGTACCACCATCTCTCCAGAAGAGGGCAGTAACAGAGCGGTGTAACACAGTCCATGGTTATAACGGTAGATTCATCATGCGTCTCCCTAGAAAAAGAATTACACCAATTAAATGTTATGTAAATATATCTGGATTGCTCCTGATGCACAGGACACCAATGGAAGAGTCAAAATAACGAGCACACTCTTATACGGCAGGGTGTAGTTTGGACCTCCGGGCTCTCCGTAGCAGCTGATCTGGGATCCGTGGTTATTACAGTCTGTGGGTTCTGTTGGTTATTCATTCATTTATATTCGCAACGCTTTTCTACATTATGGCTTTTCAATGTCAGCGAGACTGCTACATGAAAGAGGTATTTATTTAATAACTATTAGAGCGATGTTGTAAGTTTAGCTTAGACGTGACTGAACTAAACTCATATTAAATCTTTCATTTCTGACACGTCCTGTCGCTGTAACTATCTATGAGCTGTGTTATTGTGCAGATATAAGGTTATCTTCTGTCAGGGGTTTATTTGACTAAAAAACCTGTTTCCTTTTGCATTCTTGTAAAGAATATATACAGTCTATGGTCACTGCTGGACGCTTTGGGCTCTGAGCAGATTGGCTGAGAGAGAGTGAACCTCTGCTTTTACACTTACACATACAGATGCATGTGAAAACTAGTGATAGAAGCAGACTGTTTATAGGTTCTGTTTTTTCAGAGGACAGGACTGACACTGAGGCTTCAAGTACATAGTTTTGTGTGGTTTGATCATTGAGTGCCCCAGCTTTAAATGTTAATGTGGTATTTGCCAAGAGACCTGAAAGATGATTAAAATAGCTAATTATGTTGTTTTCCCAGTTTGTCACCAGTGTGGTGTCCTGCTGTCCTGCAGAGCTAAAGCATGAAGTCAATGGGAAGAAGGAGACATTAAAAGGCTTCAATGTCACGTTCCAAGACACCATCCTGTTCCCGGAGGGCGGCGGACAGGTCAGTCCTCTGCTGCGTGTTTAAGGTGATAGATATGAACTCATCATGTGCTGCTCTGTGTTAGCCAGATGACCATGGGTTCATTGGAGACGTCCCCGTGTTGAGAGTGACCAGACAGGGCTCTGATGCCATCCACTTTGTGAGCTCGAGTGTGGAGCCCGGGCTAGAGCTGCTGCTCAGAGTGGACTGGGATCGCAGGTTTGACCATATGCAGCAGCACTCAGGTGAGGCGCACACACAACGGCTTCACTCTGTATCATTTATAAATTATGATCTTCTATTTCAGGACAACACTTAATCACAGCTTTGGCAGATTCCATGTTTGGATTCAAGACCACATCCTGGTACAGCCACAAAACCCTTTGTCTGTCTTGGAATTATCAAAAGAATAACTGTCCAACTAATCGATTATATTGATAATTGATTAGTTGGATTGCTATTCTTTCAAGATTTGGTAAACATTTGATCAGCTCCAGTGATGCTCCTTGTTATGCATTTGTGTGTCATAAAACCTCTTCTCAGTATCTTTTAAACTATGGAAAGTTAATAGAAAACAAACGATTGAATGATTTAAATCAGAGGTGTCCAAACCGGTTCAGAAAGGGCCGCTGTAGCTGCAGGTTTTCTATCAGCCCCAGCAGGAGCAGAGCAGACTCCAACTTTTTCATCAATGTTAAGACTGAACTCACTTGAGGAAATCGGTGGAGTCTGCTCTGCTCCTGCTGGGTCTGATAGAAAACCTGCAGCTACAGCGGGCCTTTCTGGACCGGTTTGGACACCACTGATTTAAATAATGGATGACCATGTTACAGCCCCTGCAGAGCGTGTCTTTGATCACGTTGCTCAGAGTTGTCTGTGGTCGTTCTCAGGGAGTTGGGGCGCCAGAGAAGCACCATAGAACTGGACACTCCGTGTGTGAAACCAGCCCAGCTCCAGGCTCTGGAGGAGGCGGTCAATGAGAAGATCCGAGCTCACGTCCCGGTCCATGTGCAGCTCCTGTCCGTCGACGATCCGGCCGTGGAGAAGGTACGTGTGATGTCACATGAAACACGAGTCTACAGCTGTTGATGTGAGTGTGGTGTAGGTGAGGAGCAGGGGGCTGCCAGAGGACCATGCGGGGCCCATCCGCATCATCGACATGGAGGGAGTGGACGCTAACATGTGCTGTGGGACGCATGTGTCCAACCTGAGTCACCTGCAGGTCACATATCTGCACTTTTACATGCTGTTACTATGGCGACAAGTGACTCATACTCTCCCATTGTAGGTGATAAAACTACAGGGAACGGAGAAAGGAAAGAAAAACAAAACAAATCTGATATTTCTGTGTGGTAACAGAGTTTTGAAGTATGCTGAAAAAAGCTTCACGACAGAGCGTGCATTGGTGTCTCTCTTAAAGTAAGAATATGATCCTTCATCCACAGTTCCACAAACTCACTGACCACAAGGGCCTTTGCTTTCCAGAACCGGACCTGAGGAACACGTCGAGGCCGTCGATAAAATACAGAAGTCTGTGAAGCTGCTTCAGAAGGTTCGGTCTGAACAGAATATGAACAAATACAGTAGAAACCAGATATTTGTTTGTTTTAGGTTGATTTATTTTTACATTATTTCTTTTAGAGAGGCAGTTTGTTTATTTTCTATATGTTAGTTCAACTTGATAAGAGGTGTATTTTACACTCTGTGTGTGTGTGTGTGTGTGTGTGTAAGTCTCTGGTGTCCCCTGTAAGGCACTGAGTGGTGATTTGAAGCTAAAGTGTTTCTCTTTTAGACAAACCTGGGCCTTCTTCGGGACATGGCGGTGCTCATCGCTCAAGACTTCAACAAAAGTTCAAACAGAAGCAACTTTTTCAGCTTTCATAAGTAAGAATGTCTCTGTGTCTGTAGGTTGTTTAAAAAGAACTCTGTCAAACGTGTTGTTTCTGCAGGAAAGAGGGGGACAATGAGTTTATGAATATCATCGCCAACGAAATAAACACCGAGGTAAAAACTATTCTGTTTGGTGTTTGTGGCTCAATATGTTTCAATTCTGCTTTTGTGTCTTCAGGAAACACTAGTTTTTCTGACAGTTGGAGAGGAGAAGGGACCGGGTCTGTTTTTACTGGCTGGACCCAGTGGACCAGTGGCTGATTTAGGACCACGGTGAGAGTTACACTTATTATAAAAATCTACACTTGTCAGACGTGTAAACTTTAATAATAAAGTTTTTTTGTCTTTACCTGTGAACATGATCCTCATTCATGAAAATAAGGTACAGTATATGTTTGTAATCCACATGCCCACATGACCCTCTGCCGTCTGCAGGTTATTGCCTGTGTTTGTTGTTTACAAACATGAATATTCTTGTGTTCCTAGTGTTCTGGAGATGCTGGAAGGGAAAGGAGCCGGGAAAAAGGGCCGTTTTCAGGGAAAAGCTCAGAGTCTGAGTCGAAGAGGAGACGTGGAGGCGTTCCTCCAGCAGCACTGTCAGTCACAATAACTGCAGTTCAGTTCTTTGTACATACTTTTGTGTTGCACTTAGTGATTAAAATAACTGTTTCCTTTATGCACGAGGGTCTTTGACAGGTTTATTGTTGCTATGAAACTTTTGTTAAAGTGCGTAGAAGGTAACATCAATGTATTTACATAACATTACAGTACATTATATTTGGCAACAACGTCCTCTGTCAGGAGAAGGAGCGGGTCTGTGTAGAAAGTGTTAGAAATGCTGCGGAGCGAGTGAACAGTGGAATGTCTGATAAAAGTCTTAATGACACTTTAAACACAGACACAGTACAACAATATTATAAATCTGCTTCTCATTTGATCACTGAAAAGGCTTCACTATCTTCATTGAGATGTAGTTCTGTAGGAAGAAAAAATATGGTTTAAGTTTTTGAAATAGATCACATCAGTGAGAATAGGAGCCGAACACTCACTGGTAAAGAGTACAACAAGATGGCCACAAATAGAACCACGAGGATGAGGAGGATCAGTCCGATGAAGACCCATTTGAACCTGCGCCACACGATGAACTTCATGGTCTTGCATGGACTGGTAAACCAGAAGAAGGACGTGTCCGGGCGACTGGAACAAATGACACAGGATTATAAATCTGACTGTTTCGGTTCTACAGTTTATAAGTGACGCTTACTTTGGAGGAGAAAGTGTTGGGTTCATGTTGGGTTCATCTCTTCCTTTTCCCGCTGGTCTCTCCTCCGCCTCCGTTTCACTCACGATCTCTAACGTCATCTCCACTTTGCCCTGAGCACAGGAAATGTGATGTCACACTCCTTTGGCCCATATGAAGCATGTGTCAGTGTCTTCACTTACCCCCACCACCTTCTTGCCCTCCTGCTCCATGGAGCAGGGCCACCAGCCTCTGACCGACCTCTGAGCAAACAGACACTTCGACTGCTTCTTCGAGCTCATGTCTCCAACGTCCATCATGTCCAGGGAGCACTTCTCTGGAGTTTTCGCAGGAGAAACCAGATTACGCAGATCCAGCTCCAGGCTGCCTGAGCTCACAGCGCATCACAGTTAGACTTTTATAACAGAAAGACAAAGCTACAAAACCATGAGTGTGTTTTACCGAGATAATCATCCAGAGAGAATTTATCATTATCCCAAATCTGCACGATCAGCTTTGGAGGAATCCTGAACTCTGTGTTATCCAGGCTCCAGAAGTGCTCCTGTGGTCGTGACACAGTCATTTCATATTTATTATATTATTATTATAGTTATTTTACACAGTGTTCTGAAGAGAAGACCAGATTTACCTTTTTAGACACAAGACACAACTGTTCTGCAGGAAGGTATTCAAACTCAAACACGAAACGCCAGTTAAAGTTTCCATCTCCGTCTAGAGACCGATAATGTACATCTGTCTTCTGCTTATCTCCCTCCATCCCAGGCATCCACCTGAGACACACACAGACACAGAGACACACACACACACACACACACAGATAGACACACACACAGACACACACACACACAGACACACACACAGACACAGAGACACACACAGACACACACACAGACACACACACACAGACACACACACACATAGACACACACACGCACAGAGACAGAGACACGCACACACACACGCACACAGACAGACACACACACACACACACACATAGACACACACACACACACAGACACACAGACACACACACACACAGACACAGACACACACACACACACACAGACACAGACACACACAGACACACACACAGACACAGACACACACACACAGACACACACACACACACACACACAGACACACACACACACAGACACACACACACACACACACACACACACACACACACACACACACACACACACACACACACACAGACACAGAGACACACACACAGACACACACACACACACACACAGACACACACACCGACACACACACAGACACACACACACACAGACACACACACACAGACAGAGACACACACACAGACACACACACACACACACACACACAGACACACACACACACACACAGACACAGAGACACACACACACACACAGACACACACACACACACACAGACACAGAGACACACACACAGACACACACACACATTAAGATGATGTTCTCAGGTGAAGTCGTGGAAACTGCTCGGTTTTGAAAGTTACCCTTTGACGTAGATGTCGCTCATGTTTTCTCCTGTGATACTGGTCTCGTCCAAAGTCACGTCTGTGGTGTTCCAGATGACGGCGCGGAGGAAAAACCTTCAACAAGTACAAATGTATTTGAGATGAAAATACAATACAAAAGTCAATGAAAATGAGAATTGTTTTAAACCTACTTTTTGGGCTTTCGTGGAGTGATGTCAAATGGAGGTCCGGGAACGCCGAGGCTTTTGGGGAAAACATCCACCCACATCTGCAGCTTCCCCTGAGTCAGCACAAGAGAAGAGTCAGTTTCATCAGCGGTGACTTTGTGAGCGGTGTGTGAGTCCCACCTGTGACAGTTTGGGCTGATAGGAGCTGAGCAGGGTCCTGGTCTCCACGTGTTCAGGCACCAGCCCCTGTGTCCGCAGCACATGCAGACAGAGGCGCTCACTCGGGGGTCCCAGGTGCTGGTGGGGCTCTCTGGTGCCCTCTGCAGACACAAACACACCTCATTCAGAATACAGTACAAATACAAGTTATCATTATTAACATTAGAACTCCCAGAGCAGTCAATTTGACAGATTTTCGTTTTGTTTGTGGAATCACTCCGCCTCTGTACATGTGTGGGCTTCATAACTATAACGTGACTTTTTCTGTTTCTATGTGTAGTTTATGTAAATTTAATTATGTTTATGAAATAATCTTGACCCTGGACTAGTTTTGAGCTCAATGGTTACCATAGAAACACACTGTTTACTTGCAGCAAATAGTATTTAGTTTTGTTGTGTTCATTTCTATTAACCAGTTTCATAATGTAGTGAAGATAAAAACTGTGTGAATTATTAAAGGGGCATTAACTAAAAATCTGGCCAAAAGTGGTACTGCAGCCTCTCCCAATCTCCCTGACCCGGGTTGCCAGATATGCAGACAAATCCAGCTGGGATCATAACAGCTGAATAGAGAAGAGTTTTGTCAACAATAAATCTATAACCAACACTTTTTTCACAGAGAAAGAAATCCTGGTTTTATTCCTTGTTTTGTCGTTAATGATTTGAGAATCATAACGAGACCTTTTTTAGTTCTGGCGCCTAGATCACAGACTTTCTGATTGGTGAAACGGGGGATGGCGTGACATAAAAAAGGAAAAAAATAACAAGATTCAGGGGCCGTAAAACTAATTTTGAAATCCAAATATCTCTGAACTTCTGTTATCAGTTAAAGAAGTATTGGAAAAGAGCATGTTTTATTAATGCCTTTTCACAGATTAGGGCCCTTTAATTATGACTTGACATGAAAATCTTACATATTGCTGCTTTTAAATTGTTTTGACTGTTAACTTCCATTATGTTGTCAAAATGTTCTAGTGTTATTCTTATATTTAAGACCTCAGACGAAGGTGGAAGTAAAGCGTCGAAACATGTCAAGTAATTAAGCAGTCCTAGCTTCTTTAAATTGTTTGTCTTTTTTTTTTTTTACCTCCTAACTTACTTACTTACTTACTAAGCCTAAAATATTGTAGAAGTTTGAGAATTCTGGGAGTCCTAGCGTTAAACATTGAAATAAAATCTGTTGATTACCAAACTGAGCTAAAGTGTAATCTTTGCCATTGAAGGTCATGGATGTTCCGTTGTCTTCGCTGCGAGGTTTGGACAGGCCTTTCATTCGAGCCAGGTTCTCCAGGATCTGCGACGGCTTCATCTGATCTCGCCACTGATTGATGCCAGAGCTGAAAACAAGGTGAAAGAAAGAGTTTGAGAGAGTTGTTTGAGAGAGAAGTGCAAACACATGACTCCAGTCCCTGTGCGTACATGCAGTAGGTCTGGGGCAGGCCACAGTAGGAGTTGTATCGAGACAGGAAGCGGTTCTCCAGGTCTATCACGGTCTCCCCCACTTTCTCATCTCTGGTCAGAAGGTCGTAGTCGTACACTGAGATCTTTAGATCCTTGTCTTGAGGGAGGAAGCATGTCATCTCAAACATCCTGAAAGGAATTTGACATTATTGTTATTCATTACATTAAAACAGAGGTTCACTTATAAATCGGGGATCACCTTCCAAAGATGGGGTTGGTTGTGTTCGGCAAATAATGATCCCTGTCATCGATCGTGTTATTCCGAAGCGCTATCTTAATGTATGGATCACACTGATGAGAAAAAGAAGCAAGATAAGAAGAGGCCTGTTCATACACTGCAAATAAATATAAAATAAGGTAATAATTGCTTGAATTGCGAGGTTTTTATCTAAATTCAAGCACATTCTGACTCTCTTAAAACAATTTTTACCAATGGGTTAAAGCCATTTAGTCTTATTTCAGTTTCATTCCAAGGCAGACATTTCTTGTATCTTTTAACAAGATCATTTTGCTTTGTCCCGTTGGTAAATCTTGTTTTAAGGCAGTCAGAATGTGCCAAAACTAAGATTCATTTTACCAAATTTAAGCAATTTTTGACATTGCCGTGTGCATACATGTGTGTTATTACATCGCACTTACCCGGCCATTATTGTCTTTGGGTTGTAGATCAATGGCTCGGACGATATAGATCCGGACCAGACACTCCTGAGGCCCACTGTCCGGCAGCTCTCTGAACTGTCGAGGGGGAGGGGCCACGCCGGGGTCGTCGGACAGAGGGTACACTTTGAAGGAGCCCTGTGTGGTCCGGAGACGATGGTCACAGGTGAGAATAGCTCAGCAGCTACTGGGAGCTCGCCAAGTAGCTAAGTAGCTCCCCCATTCTACAAACTACACATATGCTGAATGTTTAACCTTAAATGTTATTGTGGGACAAACAGCTTCAGTCATAATTCAGGCTCAGTCGCAACTTTACTGATTCTGTAAGGGACTGTTTTAATAAATGCAGTTGTCAAATTTGACCTATGAGATGTTTTAACTTTAAAGTATTTAGGAGGATTTTCCAAATGTTAGGAAAGAACCGCCCTCTCCACTTTTTGAACAAAACTCTCTGGTCTTATTTGACAAGCACATATCACCAGAATGATTGACACTTTTGGGAGGACCAATAGTCTTGATGATCCACCTGGAAATAGAAAATCCTCTTGTATACCTTTAACTCAAAATTGTATGCTAACAATGCTAACAAAGCATTTAGCATTTTACTTTGGACCAGAGCAGAGAAAATGGTCCGGACTGAGCGGCTCCATCTCTGCTGCTGTGACCTGAAGTGCTGTTTCTTATTATTACTATTGTTAGCTTTTTAGAACGATCAATTTATTTATTTTGTTTGTGTGGATGGATGTGTTTTTGCTGCTGCTGGACACCTGCATTTATCCTACGGGGATATATAAAGTATCTATCTATCTATCTAATCCTATCTATCCCATAGACTGTATATATTAATGTACACAGAAACACCTGGAATGGACGATAGATTTCCACTTTCTGTTAGAGTGATTTGAAGAAGTGTGCATCCACCTTGAACTCTCCCACCACAGTCGGGTCGTCGTCTCCGTCCTCGTTCTTCCCTCGCAGCAGTTTGAACGTGTCGCAGAAATCAGTCAAGCCTTTGAACTGATCCTCCAGTTCACAGTCATAAACCTAACAATGATAATAATCAGCTGTAATCATCCAAGTCTACACTTCCAGCCCAGAAATGTACAACCGACCGTGAGCTTGTCATATCCTTTTTTTATGTATGGAACGCACTTCTCCTGTTCCCCCACTGAGGCGTAGAACTTACTCCACCAGTCGACGGTCTCTTTCTCCTTAGAATCAAGCGTCAGCATAAATAAAATACTTTAGTCTCAATAATAGAATGTGTTATGTCTCACCTTTTCAACGAGCTTAAAGAGAGATCAGAACAAAAAGTCAGACAAGTTAATGTAGATTACAGACACAGAATAGCAGCAAAGTGAAGCCAATGCAGAGAATGTCTAGATCAGCCATGCACAAAGGAACGGTGGGTTTTTGCTTTCTACGACTACAAAAACATGGTGACAGCTCAGCTACAGGAGGACCAGAGACATGCTTCTCACATCTACTCTGCAGGTGGCTCAAGTGGCATTGCATTTATTTACTTTGGGTTGTTGGCATTGGTGGCAGTGAGAAAGCAGCTCCTGTTCGAGATCATTGGTGCACAGACATGTGGATTAGAAAGCTACAATATTTGATGATACATACAACGCAGGAAGTAGGAGAAGCCATTTTGTTGACAGCTGCTGACATGCTGTATATAAACTGAAAGCCACAGTGGAAATCTGGTCAAATTTGACTTGTGTCAAATTCTACTTTTCCCAATGGGCCAAAGCTTCTCGTGTGTGTGCAAAAAGGACCAGATCCAGTCTCAGGACATGAAGGTTTACCTGAGCCTCCAGCAGCGGCCTGGTCTCATCCTCCATGTTTATGGAAACATGTTTATGTTTGAACGGAGCGGCCGCCATCAAAGCCACTGTTAAAGAGACATCCATGTTGGGCCAGAACTTTTTTATATTGATGTTATTTCCCGCACACTTACTTTTGTTGGACATGGCGCCCTCTGCAGTGATGACATAAGGGTCACAGCGGAACTGTTCCAGAGAGCTGATGGTGCACTGGCCCACCACAGGCTTCCTGCCGAAGGGACGGTGGTCGATCACCTTCAGCACTATTGGAGGCGTGTACATCTCATCCTTCGGGAGGAGCTGCAAAGATGAAAACAAGTGTCAATATCAGTAATGACCACAACTAAATATGAACAGAACAAAACCTTTTCTCACCACTTTCATGAAGAGCACAGAACTGGGGAAGTTGGGACTTTTCTTCATGTTTTTGATGACCACTGACTCCACCCTCTGTCCCCCACACTCCACCACCAGACTGGGAGAGGACACGGAGGCCAGCTGGAAGGTTTTCATGTTTCTTAAGCCCCAGGCCAAAATCTGAGTCAAGGAGAAAATGATTTTAGAATACATAAACATTACAGAATGTAAAGACTAAACATGTGTTAGTACCTCCACAGCAGTGAGCTGCACGACAGGCCGGATGCCTTGAGGAACCATGTACAGGTTCTCTGCTCTCTTTGGAGGAACCAATGGAAGATCAGACTCACCGGCCTGCACAAAACACAAACACAAATTATATAATTTCATTTTATTTGGTAGAATTAACCTCAGTATTGTGTCGAGAATAAACCTTGTCTTTAAGGATGAGCTCGGCTGCCATCAGTGCCTCTCCGGCCTGATGTCCCTTCTGGAAGATGGGGTGCCACAAAAGTTTGGGTGTTTGGTCGACTCCTGGATTCAGTTTGACCAGTGGGCGGCACACGCTGCGCCCCAAGAGCTCATCTTTCCCCTGAGAAACAGTCAGCACATTAACTGCGGAGGTTAAAGATGTTCTGAGAGAAGCCGTGTGCCAACTTACCACTTGGTCATGGTCATAGAACTCCACCACAACATCTGGAGGTCGGGACGCAATGTTTTGAGGTTCACCATAAATTTCCACATCGTTAAAAATCAGAGTTTGATCCCAGGTTGGGTTCAACGTGGCTTGGAGCTTCTCTGTTGTCTTACTTAGATGTAAGAAGGAGACGTGGGCATAGGGATCTATCCAGAACACACAGAACAGATCAATAATCAGCCAAATGAACATTTATTATCATTTCACAGCAAATCTAAACCTCACCAGAGAAACTGTCTTTGTCCATAGATGCCATGTTTCTTGCCTGATAGACATAGACGCGGAGGTGGTACATGTGTGATCCTGCAGAGAAATATCCTCAAAGAACTGCTGGATACACATATCACATGTATACAGGTGTTATTGAAACTCACGGCCAAAGGAGCAGGACACTGTTGGTGTGTTTGCTCCAAACAGCTTTGTGGCATCTGCCTTTGATCCTTTTTCTTTGTCCTCTGTATCAATGCCCTGCACCGTGAACATCAGTCACTGACCAGGTTTAGTAAAAGTCAATCATTCAAAAGCACGGAGTAAACGTTACCAAAGCTCCTTCCAGCTGAAAGATGGCAGATGCTCCAAGGCGATCCTCTGGAGCCATTTTCTTCCTCCAGCGTCTGCGGCGGAATGTATCAGAAGATCTTTCTTTACGATGAAACTTCCACCCAATCAGAGAGGAGAATTCCCAGCCCTCAGGATCGCCACGTTCCCGTCTCTGTCACACATGTCAGAGTTAGATTGGGCTCCAGTGCTCTTTTGATTATTGGGTGTGGGTAGTTCTGTCCTTTGACAATATTCTGTGCTTCCCCAAATGAAACTCTGCCTTCACAGTCTGTGAGATCTAATGCAGTATGAGTACCTCCTCAGCTGCTCCTGCCGGCAGAGCCCCTCTCTTCCTGGGTCGGACCAACCTCCTCCTGCGATGAACGTGGTACACCTTTTCAGCAGGGACCCACGACCGCGGTTTGTCCTCTGGGGGGATGGTCACCCCATACTCCCAGCCTTGTGAAGCAGAAGAAAGGACAATACTGGTTTTATGGTCAATGATAAAGACACATTTGTTGATAATAAATCAGGATCATCACCAAGATCATCAACAGCTCTGTTGTCATCCACCGTCCACTCGTCCTCCCACATCCAACCAGGAGGACACTCAAACTCTCCGGGAGCGCGGCTCTTCTCTCCGTTCTGCAAAACACAATCAAAAGCTGATTAGACAAGAACCATCTCTAGGAATAAGAGTTAGTGACACATTTCTGCTTTGACATATTCCTCACCACATCAGTGTATGGCTCAGAGGCATCTTTCCAGTCTCCACCAGGGAAACGAGTCTCGTTCTGAAACACCTCGTCCATGAACTCTGTGTGGCCTGCATCTGCCTCGGTGAGGAGCCTGACACACACAACAGGAGTAAGATCAGTAATACTGTCTAAGATTTATGTCCTGTTTTCATATGTAGCTTGTTTACCCTGTGTCTTACTTAGTTCTACTTCCTGTTGTATGTACCTGCCCCGTCCTCATGTGTCTCACCTGTGGGGGTTAGTCCTGTGTAATCCCTGCGTCGTCCTTCAGTCTCTGTTCCATCATCTGGGACTGCAGGTGAAAATGAGCTGTGTAGCTATAATCATCTACAAACATCTGTCTTTGAGCGAAGTCAAATAAAGACTAAACTAGACTATTGTCTCTTTTTGTTTCGTGTCTTCACCCCCGGATTAGTTTGGTTTTGTATTTTTACTCTGGGTAACTTTTTTTTGCAGTCCTTCATTTTGGGTTATTTGATTTTGAGCTGTGACAAATGCAGTTGGTCTTTAGTTGTATGCTTTTTAAGAAGGTCAAAGCTGAATGAAAAGTTTTTTTTTTACACATTTGCAGAGGTGGAATGGCAGGGGCATGTTTTACAGCCATGAATCAGGAATGTAAACAGGGCAGCCCAGACAGCGCTGAAATACCAGTGGCAGTGTGAATATTTGTAATACCTTTTTCTTGTTTACTTACGCTTTCTCTGGGTCAATAAACCATTCCTCTTCCCATTCCCATCCTCCAGGGGGCATGAAGTACTCTTGTTTGAGCTTCAGCTTTCCAGTCACATCTGAGTATTTATGGCGTCCCACCAATCCTGTGGTCCCCCATTTTCCAAACACTTTGGCTTGATTTTCATACTATAAACAACAAAATGTAGATAAATATTGATCCATTACTATATTTGTATAATAGAAATAAGTACCATTTCTGCAAACACACTGAATGTCCCCTCAGAATAGGAATTGAACTTCTTCTCGTGTGCAGACAGACCCATCCACATGTTGAGCCGCACCTGCACTGGGACCTTCAGGCCTTTGGTTTTGTCCATGGGATACTGTGGACATGATTGTGAGACATAAATACTTATACCTACAGAGAGAGAGAATGTAAATAAGCCTGCTGTAGACATGTACCTGTAGAAATACTGTCTGAGTTTTGCCACAGTGCTGCCCACACGCCTGCTCATTGTACGTGGAGAAAAGGACCTGATGAGCAGGAATTCGACTGTATGCGACTCTCTTCTCCCCTCGCAACATCCAGATGATGATGTCGGGCATGCTGTTCTGGGGCTGGGACCACAGGTGCATAGTTAACCTCAATGTCTCCATCATTAACAACATGTTTGTGAGAAAGCATTACAGATACCTCCTCTGCCAGCTGGCGGAGCTTCTCCAGCCAGGACTCCAGGTCGCTCAGTGTGTCCCTGATCTCCGTGGCCGCCTCTCTCATCTGTCTGGCTCCTTGTGTCATTGCAGCTAAAGCACTGTCTCGCAGCTTCTTCAGCTGAATGTCTAAAGAAGTGAGGTTGGAGCGACCTTCAAGCTCTGGCATTGCTAAACTGTAGATTATTATTCAAGATTAGATGTCACTTTCTTGTATGATGTTTTCTGCAAATATTGACTTTTGTATTAACCTTTCTAAGTCTTCAACCAGCTGGTCGAGCAACTGGAGCCACACCTCCACAAGTTGGTTGTCATTGACTTTTGCCTGTATAGCAACTTTAAATGTCTCCAAGTTGGATTGCTACAACAAACATGGAGAGGATTAGACCACGATGAGTCACACTGGCACATGACTGAAACAATAATGGACTTTAGTGTCACTGTTGCTGTATGTTAAGATAATGCTCATAAAGTCTCACCAAGCGGTTGGCAATGTACAAGATGATGTTGACAGAGTCCATGCGGTGGCTGATATCCTCCCAGTAAGAAGTCACCACAACCACAGGCTTGGTCCCAGCCCAGGGCAGGTAGTAGTAATGGTTACCTATGATACAGGTTGTTTATATTGTTATGGGTGTTATGCTGAAAGAGAAGGGAGCGGAGCAGAGCGGTCACCATCGAACACGGCACAGCTGTACTGCGTGGTGGAGGCCAGAGGTTTGCAGGTCGTGTCCAGCTTGTTGCCATAGTTTCCGATGCTGACCTCGAACTGAATGGGCTCCCCGGGTTCTTGCAACATGGATGCACTGTGGAAAACGGCACACAGGCAATACTTTCTCCGTCTCTGGTATTTCTGAGGGAAGAACCAAGTACACACTGAAAAGTTGTTGATAATAAATAAATGAACAAAAACATGGTGAGTATGAATGGGTCTCACCTGCACCACCAGGAGGTCATCATTGGGGACGTCCTCTACAATGTTTTCGGATTTTCCTTCCAGTTTGGTGGACAGCTCGACGAGGACTCTTCCTCTGTAGGCAACTCCTTCTCCCTGTGATCATGAGCACAACATGAAATAAGCCCAGTCTTAAATTCTCTCCCTCGTCCATGCAGTGACCACTACCTTTCCATGATTGAGATCCTCGTAGGGGTCTGGCAGGCCGCTGAACTCTCTGGGGCTTCCATACAGGTTTACATAGCACGGTCCAAAGACTGGGAGGAACCCCACCTCCGACTCGCCTGTATGTGCTATCCAAACATATCAAAAACACATACTTTAATCTTCCAATAGGACTCTGAGGCAAAGCGAGACATGCAGCACTATGCAATCTAGAAGCTGCTCTGTGGACCAGGGAGGCAGTGGACAAGCCAGGGTAGAAACGGTGAAGGGAATAAGCAGGTGTGCAAACAGTGCAATAGTCATTAATAAAACAAATACTTAATCACGTTACAGCTGCAGTTTTTATAGTGTGCACGCAGAGGGAAAAGACAACTGATGACATGCAACAAAGAGCACAAAACACAAATAAACCTTCATATGACGGTATATCCTCTTTTCCTGCATGTTCCTCTGAAGCAGGAGAAAAAGACTTTTTAGGAGTCAGTATTATTGACTTCTTCTACTTTTATTGGCTCAAAAATGTTATTATTAATTATTTGTTGCATCAAAACAATAATAGTTCACATTTACCTTCAATTTCTCCGCCAGAGGAGGCGATCTTGGCCAAGTTCAGATAGGTTGTTCCAACGGCGTCATTTCCAGTTAAACGATCCCTTAGAAAAAAGATACATTTGTAAGTAGTGCCAACAGGGTCTGTCCTGTACTGGGCACATGTGCAGATCTCAGATAAGCTGCAGCGCTCGGGCTGTCATTACGCTCACAGGGAAAAGACTCATTGTAACTGTGCTCTGAACGTTTTCCTTGGCTCCGTGTCAGACACACTATAATGGATCCAGCAGAGAAATACTGATGCAGAGTCTGAGTCACCAGCTGCTTGAATATTCTCATGTGGCCGTCGCTGGCAGGGCGGACCCTCACTGACCACACTGCTAAAATATTGTGGCCCCTTTTCTACTCAGCAACCTCCAACTTAAACATGAACTGAAGCGAACAGTTTGTGTGACACCTGCCTTTGTGTAATGTGGATGTAATGCAATGTAAAATGTGGTTTGAATTGTGCTAAAAGCTCTTCTAGATACGGCCGGAGTGTTTCACATGGACACATAAATGAATAATAAACGCATAATACTTCTAATACATAAAGTGCTTGTACTTACCAGTCAAACACTGTTAGTCTGATGCGCTCACACATCGACGGAAACTTAAAATGGAGATAAGAAAGTTTAGAATACACTTCAAAATCCTCCTACACACACTGAGATTTGTTACCTTGACTTGAAGGTTAAGAACTTGGTTCCACTCAGGGTTTGCATTCTTCTCCATGATCTGTGTACATATCTAAAGAGAAATAATAACGTGATGGGGTCACACTGCGGCTGCTCACAGTCAACAGAGAGATTTACCACATACCTTTTTACCAGCAAAGCGCGCCTCTAAGAAAGGATCTACCAGATTCTTCTTGTTTTCGTCTCCACCAAAGAATTCCTTCATTGACTGAACAAAGGCATCGTCCACTACAAGCACAAAGAAGAAACGTTTTTGATCTGAGAACATGTAACGTCTCTTGTACCGCTGGACAATAACAATAATAATAATAATAATAAATATAAAAATAAAAATAATAAAAATAAATATAATAATAATAATGATAATAATAATAATACTGATCATGCCGCACTCTGTGGGATGTCTTCGGCTCTGTAAACCTTCAGGGACAGAGTGGCCCATCGCTGAGTGACGCCCGCGGGCAGAAGCAGGTTATTCTCAATGTCGTCCTGATCATCGTTGGATTCTCTGTTTTCCACCTGCAGTGACAACACGAATTAGACCAGGGGGGTCCAAACCGGTCCAGAAAGGGCCACTGTGGCTGCAGTTTTTTATATCAGACCAAACCCGGAGCAGAGCAGCCTCCACCCATTTCTTCAAGTGAGTTCAGTCTTAGCCTGAAGACTTGAGGAAATGGGTGGAGTCTGCTTTGCTTGGTCTGATATAAAACCTGCAGCCACAGCGGCCCTTTCTAGACCGGTCTGGACACCACTGCATTAGACCAAAGGAGGCTGTGGCAGTGGGACCGCAGCAGGAGAAAGGGGACTGTACCGGCGGTTCATCTCCTACACCCACAACAAACAGGGAGACCTTGAGGTAGCCTTTAGCTCCAGAACTGGACTCCTCTGGGTCATTCAGGAGCAGCCACTTTCTCATGACACAATGAGCTGCAAAGCAAAAGTACATTCATATGAGTGTGTTTAGTAACAGACGGAGCTGACAAACAACAGGTCTTGGATTCAAAATGTAAATGAGAAACAAATGATGAGTAGTGAGCGCACCAGGTTCATCGTACAAATAACCAATGTCCAGCTGAAACAGGAAACACAACATTAGCAAGAAACTATTTGCATCACTGAATGTATATTTTTACTTACCTGAAACTCTCCCATGAGGCTGTCTGCTCGAAGTGAGTACGAGTTATACACCTAAAAGCATGCATTGACATTAACAGTAGTTCTATGACACCATAATAACAATAAGGAACTTACCCTGAAGCTGATGTTTTGTTCCAACAGCTCTGACGGCAGCATGTGCACGTTATAGAACATCAGCTGAAAGAGTTTTACAGAGTCATTACAAAGTGCCTCAGGAAAGCGGCTGGTGTAAATGGGAGATGGATGTACCTCGTCATAGAAGGGGTTGTTTCCTCTCTTGATCCTGGTCCTGTGCGTTTGCCCGCACACGCTCACCTTCACCACAGGTTTGACGTTGTTTCCCGGGAGCTGGCGAGCCTCAATGATCCGCACACGGACCTACAAACACGTTTGCAGTCATTTGATTTGAACACCTCGAACAGGCTCTTCCCTCGACATGTTCCTCACTGGGTCCTCCCGTTTCTCTCACTGTTGACATTTCTGTTTCATTCTCTTTGGCATCATCCAATTATTTCTGAATTTGTCCTTCTCCAGCATTATCAGTTTCCCTGATAAACTCGTATCTCAGAAGTATGCGCTGCTCCTCTTTCATAAAAGGTCAGATTGACTTGATGCTTAAAAACTGTTTCAACACACACAGGCTCTGACAGCCATGTTCCAAGACCTCATGTTCTAAGGCCTCATGTTCTAAGGCCTCATGTTCCAAGACCTCATGTTCTAAGACCTCATGTTCTAAGACCTCATGTTCTAAGACCTCATGTTCCAAGACCTCATGTTCTAAGGCCTCATGTTCCAAGACCTCATGTTCTAAGGCCTCATGTTCCAAGACCTCATGTTCTAAGGCCTCATGTTCCAAGACCTCATGTTCCAAGACCTCATGTTCTAAGGCCTCATGTTCTAAGGCCTCATGTTCCAAGACCTCATGTTCTAAGACCTCATGTTCTAAGACCTCATGTTCTAAGACCTCATGTTCCAAGACCTCATGTTCTAAGGCCTCATGTTCCAGGACCTCATGTTCTAAGGCCTCATGTTCCAAGACCTCATGTTCTAAGGCCTCATGTTCCAAGACCTCATGTTCTAAGGCCTCATGTTCCAAGACCTCATGTTCTAAGGCCTCATGATCTAAGGTCTCATGTTCCAAGGCCTCATGTTCTAAGGCCTCATGTTCTAAGACCTCATGTTCTAAGGCCTCATGTTCCAAGACCTCATGTTCTAAGACCTCATGTTCTAAGGCCTCATGTTCTAAGGCCTCATGTTCCAAGACCTCATGTTCTAAGGCCTCATGTTCCAAGACCTCATGTTCTAAGACCTCATGTTCTAAGGCCTCATGTTCTAAGGCCTCATGTTCCAAGACCTCATGTTCTAAGGCCTCATGTTCTAAGACCTCATGTTCTAAGGCCTCATGTTCCAAGACCTCATGTTCTAAGGCCTCATGTTCCAAGGCCTCATGTTCCAAGACCTCATGTTCTAAGACCTCATGTTCTAAGGCCTCATGTTCTAAGGCCTCATGTTCTAAGGTCTCATGTTCCAAGGCCTCATGTTCCAAGACCTCATGTTCTAAGGCCTCATGTTCCAAGACCTCATGTTCTAAGGCCTCATGTTCTAAGGTCTCATGTTCCAAGGCCTCATGTTCTAAGGCCTCATGTTCTAAGACCTCATGTTCCAAGACCTCATGTTCTAAGGTCTCATGTTCTAAGGCCTCATGTTCTAAGGCCTCATGTTCCAAGACCTCGTGTTCTAAGGCCTCATGTTCTAAGACCTCATGTTCTAAGGCCTCATGTTCTAAGGCCTCATGTTCCAAGACCTCATGTTCTAAGACCTCATGTTCTAAGGCCTCATGTTCTAAGGCCTCATGTTCTAAGGCCTCATTTTCTAAGGCCTCGTGTTCTAAGGCCTCATGTTCCAAGACCTCATGTTCTAAGGCCTCATGTTCTAAGGTCTCATGTTCCAAGGCCTCATGTTCTAAGGCCTCATGTTCTAAGACCTCATGTTCCAAGACCTCATGTTCTAAGGCCTCATGTTCTAAGGCCTCATGTTCTAAGGCCTCATGTTCTAAGGCCTCATGTTCTAAGGTCTCATGTTCTAAGGTCTCATGTTCCAAGGCCTCATGTTCTAAGGCCTCATGTTCTAAGACCTCATGTTCCAAGACCTCATGTTCTAAGGCCTCATGTTCTAAGGCCTCATGTTCCAAGACCTAATGTTCTAAGACCTCATGTTCTAAGGCCTCATGTTCTAAGGTCTCATGTTCTAAGGCCTCATTTTCTAAGGCCTCGTGTTCTAAGGCCTCATGTTCAAGGACCAGTGTTGGGAGAAACACGTTACATAAGTGTTATGTTTTACGTTACATTGCATCTCTACTCTATTGTTTCTGTTGTTGTTGCTCTAATAGTACCCGCCTAGAAGTGTTGTTTCTTTCTGGTAGAAGACGGCTGAAGCTGAAACAGCACTATGTCGGACAATACTTTATTTTTACTGATGGACAAACTCCATTATTAAGAGTTTGTCAAAGACAAAGATGTCGAACATAACAGTTAACTTTATGTTCAAGCCAAAAGCTCTATCAAGCTCACGCAATAGCATCATAAGCTACAATTTGAATGTATATATTTATATAAATAGACTCCCCGGCCACTTTATTAGGTACACCTATCCAATTCCACTTTAATGCAAATTCCTGATCAGCCAATCACATGGCAGCAACTCAATGCATTTAGGCGCAGACATGGTCAAGATGATCTGCTGCCGTTCAAACCATCAGAATAGGGAAGAAAGGTGATTTAAGTGACTTTGAACGTGGCATGGTTGTTGGTGCCAGGCGGGCTGGTCAGAGTATTTCAGAAACTTCTGATCTACTTAGATTTTCACAAACAACCATCTCTAAGGTTTACAGAGAACGGTCTGAAAAAGAGTAAATATCTAGTGAGCGGCAGTTCGGTGGGAGAAAATGCTTTGTTGATGCCAGAGGAGAAGGGCCAGACTGGTTTGAGCTGATAGAAAAGCAACAGTAACTCAAATAACCACTCGTTACAACCAAGGTCTGCAAGAGAATAGACAGAGACAATAGAAGTTTGGAAAAAGTTGCCTTGTCTGATGAGTCTGGATTTCTGCTGCAACATTCGGATGGTAGGGTCAAAGTTTGGAGTCAACAACATGAAAGCATGGATCCATCCTGCCTTGTATCAACGGTTCAGGCTGGTACCTGAATTAGTATGTCTGTCCTGGTGGGGGTGTAATGGTGTGGGAGATATTTTTTTGGCACTCTTTGAGTCCCTTAGTCCCAATTGAGCATTGTTCCCAAGGCACAGCCCACCTGAGTATTGTTGCTGACCATGTCCATCCCTTTATGACCACACTGTACTCATCTCTGATGGCTACTTCCAGCAGATAAAACACCTTGTCATAAAGCTCAAATCATCACAGACTGGTTTCTTGAACATTACAATAAGTTCACTGTACTGTAATGGCCTCCACAGTCACATCATGGATTTGCAGCCAACAAATCAGGTTGAAACTGCATGTAGCTATCAAATATGGACCGAACTCTCTGAGGAATGTGTTCAGTGCCTTGTTGAACCTATGCCACAAGAAGGCAAAGGGGGTCCAACCCGGCAAGGTGTAGCTATTAAAGTGGCCGGTGAGTGTATATTATAATTCAGAGACAGTAATATTGTAGAGTAATAAAGTAACAAGTAATATGTTTTTGAAGTAACTTGTAAGTAACCAACACTGTCAAAGACTCTTCATGTTCAAACACACATCACTTTTTCAGTTCTCTTGTTAAATAACCAACAGACAAACAACCAACCCTGGTGATTACATTACACCTTGGCAGAGGACCTAAGAAAAGAAGAAGGGTGTTACCTGGAAGTCCTGTGGTTTATTGGCCAGTCTGTGTCGACTCTTGGCGCTCCTGGACAGTCGCTGCCGCAGGTTGGCTCTGTTGGCCACAGTTCCTGCTCCTGGACCAGCGACATCTCCATCTGGTGTCGTCTCATCCAAGTCCTCGGCTCCACCAGATCCTGCAAATATTGTTCATTCAAACTGATGTGTGGTCTGGAGAACCATGAGAGACCAGGAGACTATCTCACCAGAATCCACTGTTGCGTCTCCTCCTTGAGGGTCATTGAGGTTGGTGGCGCTGGCCGGAGGGTCGTAGCCAATAATGAGGTTGATTGTAGCCTATAATGAAGTGTAATGAACATCACATTTTAACCTTGGACAAATACTACAACAAAGTAAAGCAAACTGAAAAACCTACTCCAATGCTTTGCCCGCTTTCACTGAGAAGTGGCACGTTTTTGGATGGCAGTGACCGCACTTGACCCGCGGCGAGGTCTCTCAGAGATATTTTGGCAGATCCTAAAAATCTGTAGAAACACAGAAGTATTGAATAAATATTTGGCCGATGCGTTCATCTCCGTCAGACAGTTGAGGGATTCCCGGGTGAAGTCTCAGACCACAGTCATGTTCACAAAAAGCAGAGTCGTCACCGCCCAGAGCTAACAGACCCAGCCTGGATGACCAAACAAACGCACCCGGAGCCTGTCAACACACGGGCTGCCAACGACACATGAAGACACGTTTATATCTATGTGTGTCTGTGTGTGTGTGTGTGTGTGTGTGTGAAGAGATCCATGGGGAAGACTCATTCATTCAACACAGGGAGAAGAAGTAAAGTATGTAACTGGTAAAAAGCATCAGTGACTTTGTAATAACTGATTACAAAGTCAGCAAAAGTTTAGTTGAAGCTCAAGGTTAAAACTGTAATCATTTACCATTAGTCATAGTTTTGTTTAACCATTTCTAACTCCAAACACTTGTGATGTAAATGACCCGAGAAAAGCAAATAAAACGTCATTACTCACTACTCTTTATACGTGCACACTGTTTTCGTGAGTTTTAATATAAAATGAATTATCAACTTGTATGAGCTGCATCATACTTTCTGGATCCTCTCCATGAAATAACTGGGACGACAGCAGGAGACAAAGGAAGTTATGTAATGGAAGTTTATCAGGATACGATCTGTCGGCACAATTAACCACCGGAGACTCTGTGAACCTGGAATGTGCTTTACTCCAGCTAGAAACTCATAAGCAACTGAGAAACAGGATTCAAAACACCCGCGGCTAATCAGAAAACACTGAAGCAACAGGCTTTTAAATTCAATAGAAAACGTTTTAAAATATATTATTATAATGATAATTGATAAATGCAGTTCCCAAAACCCAACAACAATGGATAAAAAATATGAAAAAGGCAAATATATTAAATGTATTTAGGAGGATATTCCCACATTCTATGAAAAAACCGCCCTCTCCACTTTTTGAGCAAGTATCCTCAGAATGATTGACACTTGGGAGGACCAATAGTCTTGATGATCCACCCGGAAGTAGAAAATCCTCCAATATACCTTTAATTCCCAGAATTCTGACACTACAGGAACTCTCAGAGCCGTCATTTTGACTGCTCCCATTCAAATCATTAGCATTCTGAAACAGTATTTTCTAAAGTTAGTTTTAATCATTTTGTATTCAGAGTAAATAATTTAGAAAGGTTTTGTTTTTGTTTTTTTACTTTAGTCACCTTTATTAAGTGATAAAACCTGTAAATGAAAGTTGAACTACAGCAAAAGCATAGAGTCATATACTGTAGTTATAAAGACACACATGAACATGAGCTGAGTAGATAGTTCCAAAACTAAAAGCCGTCAAATCGACTGCTCTGGGAGTTCAAACGGAAACTTCCCAGCATGAACAAAACAGTGCATGTTTATATATAAATATTCTAATAAAAGCTGATCTTATTATAGACGCTTGATAATTGACTCCTCCTGACCCATTATGTGTTGAGACAATGCTTCAGTTTTTCTCTCTTGTATCCATGACAACAGGATTTACCCATGATCATGTGGAAAACTATTTGGATCTCCCCCTCCACAATGCAGATTTTACAGTGCGTCAGACGAGCCAGCCTGGTGGAAAAGCTTACTCAGCCCTCCCTCTCTCCCTCCCTCTCTCTCTCCCTCCCTCTCTCTCTCCCTCTCTCTCTCCCTCTCTGTCCCAAATATACTCTGGAAACTCTGTCTAAAAGCCCCTCATGATTGGAAAAGTATTGTTCGCAGGTAAATATATATCAACATGACTTTGACATGACATTAATGCTGTTTTCTACATTTTGTTTTTGTTTACTTTGATCACAGTAATTAGGACTGTTACAGAAATAGCTGCGGCCATCAGCGAATTGTTCCCATGTGTGCGCTCACATCTAACCCGGCTCCATTTCCAAAGTCTCTCCAAAGCGAGGGCACCTTTTAACCAATAAACTGTTCGCTTTTTGCCACTTCCTGTGACGAGAAAACTCTGCAAATGAGTACAAACAGCTATTCATCCGTCCATTGTTGCTTAACTGGGATCAGTCAACCCACAGAGTACAAGTCCAAGCACGGCAGACTGGCAACGCGGGGGCAGGCTGCTGCACGGGAAAAAATTATTTGAACCCAGTATTTTCAACACTATGGAGAGTAAAGTAGTTCTATCAGTGGAGTTAAAAATCATACAGCAAGAACCCGCCACTCTGCTGTAGTCTACTGGAGTTTGGCACAAGATTGAGTGGAAAAAACCCTTCAAAAATTAACTGATTTCGAGGGGAACCAAATATGATCTGAAATAGTAGTAATAAAAATAATAATATCGCATTTTTCGGATTACAAGCCGCAGTTTTTGTCATAGTTTGGCCGGGGGTGCGGCTTAGACTCTGGAGTGACTTATGTGGGTTAAGGTTATATATCAAAAAATATCAAATAACCGCCCGGGCTATCGCTAAGTTGAGCGATAAAGTTATTAAGAAGGGCGACATTGTGTATCAGTTTATTTTTCAGAGTTCTATTTGTATTAGCAAATGTGTTATGGTCAAAACCCACAAGCTGTATATAAATGCGACTTATTCTCTAGCGCGACGTATGTATCTTGTTTTCCTTCTTTATTATGCATTTATTGCTGGTGCGGTTTATACTCCGGAGCAATTTAAAATCCCAAAAATACGGTAATTAATCTGTAAAGGTGTGACATAAACACCATAGCTCCAACACAGAGGTACGCACATGTTTCTCCGCCCGGTGGCACCAGTCGTCATGAACTAACAAAGACCCAGCACTACACTACATCTGTGGCAATAACAATACTCAACGATGAATCTCCGTGAAAGCGTCTGCACTCATCAAAAGGACACACCTTGGATACTGTTGGCCCACACTATGTTCAGACAAGCTTTAGCCGTGATCCAGCGTGTGATGCAAAGCTACACTTATCCCCAGGTTGCACAAAAGTTACACACAGCATTGACTTACTTATCTTTGCCAATAGTTTCATAGTCTTTCACAATCACATCGAGGTGGGAGCCGGAGTCCAGAGCCTGGTTTTTTAGATCAAACTCAAGAACCTGAAAAAGATACAGATACAAATAGTGTTTTTATTCTGTTAGGTGGACTATGATAAACCTCAGGGGTAAAAAAAAAAGCATCCATCACTGTGCTACGCCTGAATCTATTTGCATGGAAATGATGTGCCGCAGTTTCACGTGGTCTTGTTTACTGTACAGATGTTTCCAACCATTAATGGAACATAAATACAGGCATAAATAATTTCATTACAAAAATAAGAAGTCATGCTATATCAAACCCATCTGCAACTATCATGGAAACTTTATAATTTCAAGAAGAATATGCAATTGAGTTATTAGACACGAAACGTTAATTAATTTAGAAATAATTTTGAGCAAGATGCAATTACCTCATTCCAGACGGGATTCAGCTCACTGTCAATGGACTTTGTTTTTTTCTTCTCTTCTGTAAACACAAGATTATTATCAAATGAAACCAATAATTTACATTTAGGTCATGTGTTTTCATCATAAAATCCAGTGGATGCCATTAGTGCAGGAAGGGGAAGGCTGCCACACCTGAGCGCTGACAGCTACAGATCATACAAACTATTCTGCTACAGTTTAAAGTATCTTTTCTCAAGTTCTTAAAGTTGTGGTCCTTAACTCTCAAATTACAAAAGAAAAACAGTTTGCTTTTCAGATGAATTCATGTATTTTTGGTCCCTGTTACATCTTTGAATCATCTTTTTCAAGACAAAAAAGTGACAAAGAGAGGACCACCCTGACTCAGCCTCAAAGAGTCCAATAGTGACTCACAGGAAAGTAAGCAAACGATATCATGTTTTCTGATGAGATGAGGGCAGCCTGTGGAGGTCTGATTAATTCATAAAATTATTCTTTTATTTAAAGACAATTTCTGTTGGAACAGAAACATGTAATACTGTAATATTCCGATATAAACAGTTTGGTAACACAGCTTTAAAAAGTCAGAATAATGAACAATGCAAAGTCTTACCTCTAAAAATCACAGACACAACAGGGTCAGGACTGCCAACTCTCTTCTTGGGTAGCCCTGTGGCAGACTCCACGACCACCCTCAGCATAGTGACAGAGAGACTTGAACTAGACTCAAAGTAAGAACAAAGTGTAGAGTTGTCCCTGCTCTGCCATCATCAGCCCATCACTGGCTCACAGGGCTGGGCTACAGACTCAGGGACTGAGGGGAAGCGAGGGGCGGATCACGAGAGTGTAATTAAGCCGAGAATAGGGCCAGTGTGCGCCGCTGCAGTGCTGCCATCCTGCGAGCTCCTCTGGATCCTCGTTACAGTCTATGGTATGAACCCTCCACACAGGGGCCACTCTGGCTCCACCTACTGGCAGCTGTGGAGCTGCACGAGCGGGCTCGTACTGCATATAAATTCACTATATTGTTCTTGATTTTCTTATTAGGCCGATTATTTCGTTTAGGGAAATATCTAATAGTATAAAGGACAGAAACTGGCCTGAATTAGTATGTGTGTCCTGATAAAACACAGTGTGTTTGCCTGTGATCAGGTAAAAAGATACTGTTGTGATGTCATCAGAGGATCAGAGCATTTCAATCAGGAGAGACTCGAAAAGGCAAAACATGCTATTAGAATTGTATGTTGGTTGGCAGGTAATCTGACACTGCATGAATTAGACATACGACACTAAAGACATATTTTCAAGATTAAATTTATTGTGCTGGACAGAATGCGGTTGGGATTTGGCGCTTGGACCCCAGCAGAGCACTGCACGACTGCAGAAGGGGAAAGAGATTATGAGATGAAATCCTCCGGGGCCTAGACCCCTGTGGTGGTAGCTAGGAGAAGGATGAAGGAACTGGCCTAGCTGGAACATGGCAAGTTTATTTGTATAGCACAATTCATACAAAAGGCAACTCAAAGTGCTGAACAAAATAAGAAAGCATTAAAATAAATAAATAATCACAGAACATTAAAAAGAAAGATAAAGATATGAAATCCCTCAGTTGTATGCACAGCTAAACAGAACTGTTTTAACCTGGTTTTAAACATTGTCAGAGAGGAGGCCTGTCTCACATCTTCAGGAAGATTGTTCCAGATTTTAGGAGCATGAATCTGAAAAGCAGCCTCCCCATGTTTAGTTCTGACTCTGGGCACTAACAGGAGTCCAGTCCCTGTGCTCCTCAGAGTCCGGGCTGGTTCATATGGGACTAACATGTCACTAATATATTTTGGTGCGAGGCCATGGAGAGACTTGTACACAAGCAGAGCTGTTTTAAAGTCTATTCTCTGAGCCACAGGAAGCCAGTGCAGAGACCTGAGAACTGGACTAATGAGGTCGTACTTCCTGGTTCTAGTCAGGACTCGAGCTGCTGCATTTTGAATGTACTGTAGCTGTTTTACAGCCTGTTTGGACAGACCTGTGAGCAGGCCATTGCAGTAGTCTAACCTACTGGAGACAAATGCATGGATAAGAATCTCCAAGACTGGTTTAGACACTATGTTTTTGATCCTGGCAATGTTTTTAGGTGGTAAAAAGTTGCTGATGTTACTGATTTGATGTGGCTGTTAAAATTTAAAGGCGCTATACCCGTTTCTGCAAGGTTGGAATGTTTAGCACCGCCCCCCAACTCGCTCACAGGCTTCTCATTTCCCCTACGCTCTCATAACACAGAGCCATCTAGTTCAATTTGCGATCTGACATGTATGCTAACATTAGCATTAGCACAACTTCTTGTAAGCTGTACAACAATCACAGATGAAATGGCACTAAAGCAACGCACTGCTAACACAATATATAGGTAAAAGAATACTGCTTGTTTCGCGTCCAAATGTATTCATTAAAACATTGGGGTGGGGTCAGCCCCACCCTGGACCCGCTGCAGTTCGCCTACAGACCCAACATCGGAGTAGAGGACGCCGTCATCTACTTCCTGCAGCGGACGCTCTCCCACCTGGAGCCCGCCGGGAGCGCTGTGAGGGTCATGTTTTTTGACTTCTCCAGCGCTTTCAATACCATCAGGCCGGCACTGCTGCGGGGGAAGATGGAGGACGCGGGAGTGGACAGTAGCCTCACTGCATGGACCATCAACTACCTCTCAGACCGACCACAGTACGTGCGGCTGCGCAGCTGTGAGTCTGAGGTGGTAGTCTGCAGCACTGGGGCCCCTCAGGGCACTGTCCTCTCACCGTTTCTCTTCACCATCTACACCTGAGACTTCACACACGACACACGCAGCTGTCACCTGCAGAAGTTCATCCGACGACTCCGCCATCGTGGGCTGTGTGTCTGAGGGGAATGAACTGGAATATCGGTCGGTTATCAAGGACTTTGTCGACTGGTGTGAGTGCAACCACTTGTGCTTGAACACCAGTAAGACCAAGGAGATGATCATCGACTTCAGGAGAAAACCACTTTCCCACACACTGATGAACATCCAGGGGGAGGACATTGAGCTGGTGGACAGCTTCAAGTACCTGGGTGTTCACATTAACAATAAACTGGACTGGTCCCATAATACAAACGCCCTGCACAAGAAGGGCCAAAGTCGCCTCTTCCTTCTGAGGAGGCTGAGGTCCTTCGGAGTGAGCCTCTGCTCAGGACTTTTTATGACTCTGTGGTAGCTTCTGCCATCTACTACGCTGCCGTGTGTTGGGCCCCGGGCAGCACAGAGCGGGACAGAAACAGACTGAACAAGCTGGTCAGGAGGGCCAGCTCCACTCTGGGCCGCTCCCTGGACTCTGTGGAGGAGGTGAGGGACAGGAGGGTGCTAGCCAAAGCCACCTCCATCATGAACAATACCTCCCACCCACTGCACAGGACTGTAGAGGAGCTGAGGAGCTACTTCAGTGGAAGACTGAGACACCCTCAGTGTAGGAAGGAGCGCTACCGCAGGGCCTTTATCCCTGTGGTGTTACGTGTTAGTAACATGGGAACTCCAGTTCCCATGATTCCTTGCGAGTTACGCATGTGTGGGGGTTAAAGTTTTACTTCCTGTTTTGGACAGCCGCACGGGTGTGATGTACGAGCCTGCCGTAGCTACTTGTTCTTAATAAAAATACAAGTTTATTAAACACGCCTCTACTGTTCATCTGCACTAGAACAGACATAACATGGTGTCAGAAGATGGTCGTTGGCAAGAGAAGACAGAAGAAAAGTAAATCTGCGTCTTGCAGCGAGAGCCACGTGTAAAAAGAAGTGAACTGCGTGTGACGGCGAAGATGGCATGGCTGATAATGAAGACAATCGCGTTGTGAAGGAGGGAGAGGAACGTTCACCACAAGTAGATGCTGATATAGTTCCTGAAAATAACGAACCAGAAGAGATTCAAGTAAGAGAAATCCCTGTACACAGACCTGTCGTCATGGATAAACTAAACCCACCGTCTTGCATGCAACTGGTAACCTTGCAGACAATTGGAAACGTTTTAAGCAAAGATTTAATATCTACTTAGCAGCTAGTGGAGCGGGTGGTGATGATGAAAAATTGAAAGCGTCAATTTTTTTGCATGTGATTGGAGAAGATGCTCTGGACGTATACAATAGCTTTCAATTGGATGAAGCTAACCTGACGTTGACTGCACTTATGAATACGTTTGAAGAGTATTTTGTGCCAAGACAGAATGTGACTTTTGAGCGGTACAAGTTTTTTACTCATGGCCAGAAACAAGGAGTACCTTTTGATCAGTATTTAGCTGAGCTTCACACACTGAGTAAAACTTGTGAGTTTGGGACTTTAAAAGACTCATTAGTTAGAGACAGGATAGTCTGCGGGACTAATGATAATGCACTCAGAGAAAGGCTGCTCCGTGAGACGGGACTGACACTGGAGAAATGTGTCACCATGTGTAGAGCTGCAGAAACAACCCGTGCACAGGCCAAGGAACTGCGCAGAGAGGAAACCGCAGTGCATGTTGTAAAAAGAGAACAGAAAAGAAAGCCACCTACCAAACAAAATGATACAAGAGAGAAATCATCTGAGTACAAGTGCAGTAGATGTGGGAGTAGTCATAAACCCAAGTCATGTCCAGCCTATGGCAAGTCATGTAATAGCTGTGGAAAAATCAATCACTTCTCTAAATGCTGCAAAGTGACGTCAATAAAGAAGAAAGTACATGCAGTGGAAGAAGAGGAGGAGGAGTTTGTAGTGGACAGTGTACAGACTTGTGGCACTGATAAAGCTGAATGGATTGTGCCGATAGAGGTAAATGAGACAGTAATTCCATTCAAGCTGGATACAGGGGCCCAGGTGAACTTACTATCTATCCAGGACTACAGAACGCTGACGGTCAAAGGCAAGATCCATCCTGTAAAGATTAAAGTGACAGGATACACAGGTGAAACCATACCTGTGACAGGGAGCTGCATCGCAACCTTCAAAAATAATGGGCGACAGATCCAGGCACAGCTATTGATCGTGGATAAGAGCGTACAGCCAATTCTCGGACTCAGTGCATGTGAAAAACTCAATCTGGTCAAGAAAGTGTTTGTAGTGACATCGCCTTCAAACGATCACGACTCGCTCATGGTGGAGTACAAAGACTGTTTTGAAGGACTCGGATGTCTACCTGGATTACACAAGATACGTGTCGATGAAAGCGTGACCCCTGTTGTGCATCCCTGCAGGAAGGTGCCATTCAAGCTTAGAGAGAAGCTAAATGAGGAGCTAGCACGCATGGAAAAAATGGAAGTCATCAAGAAGATTGACGAGCCTACAGAATGGGTCAGTTCAGTGGCATTAGTTCAAAAAAAGACAGGTGCTCTGAGAACATGCCTTGACCCACGGGATCTTAATAAGGCAATTAAGAGAGAACACTTCAAACTGCCAACCAGAGAAGAAATCATGGCACAGTTTGCTGGTGCAAAATGGTTCAGCAAACTAGATGCCTCATCGGGTTTCTGGCAGCTGAGGCTAGATGAAGAGAGTTCGAAGCTCTGCACCTTCAACACACCTGAGGGCAGGTACCGCTTTCTTCGTCTCCCGTATGGCATCTTGTCTGCACCCGAGGTATATCACAAAACCATACACATGATATTTGAGCACATACCAGGAGTCGACACCATGATGGATGACATCATCGTATGGGGTTCTACTCGAGAAGAACACGACATGAGGCTGAGACAAGTACTCGACAAGATAAGAGAGGTCAACTTGAAACTAAATAAGGACAAATTTGAGTTTGGAGTGAAAACACTTACCTTTGTCGGTGATGTGGTCAGTGAAGACGGGGTGAAGCCAGATCCAAGAAAGGTATCTGCAATACACAACATGGAGAGACCCCACAACAGAGATGACGTCAGAAGGTTCCTTGGTATGGTCACCTACCTGGCTAAATTCATACCAGATCTGTCCACACAATCTGCACCTCTGAGAAGCCTGCTTGAACAGAAAAATGAATGGCTTTGGTCACATGAGCAGGAACAATGCTTCAGGAAGCTAAAAGAGACTCTAACACAAGAGCCTGTGCTGAAGTTCTACGATCCCCAGAGGAGTACAAGGGTCTCGGCAGACGCTTCGCAGTACGGCCTGGGGTCGGTGCTTCTACAGCTACATGAGGAACAGTGGCTACCAGTCGCCTATGCATCCAGGGCCTTGACGAGCGCCGAGTCTAGGTACGCCCAAATTGAGAAAGAACTTCTCGCAAGTACGTATGCGTGTGAACGATTTCACCAATATGTCTATGGACAAGCGTTTGAGGTGGAAACAGACCACAAACCACTCGTTTCAATCATGTCTAAGCCATTAAATGACTGCCCTGTAAGAATTCAACGCATGTTAATAAGACTAAAGAAATATGATGTGCGGATGATATATACACCAGGGAAGTACATGTTCACCGCCGACACTTTATCCCGAGCAGTGGACAGGGAAGAGAGTGCTGACAGTGAGAAGAGTGCAGATATACAGGCTTATGTGGATATGATTGTGACATCTCTACCGGTTACTGCAGACAGAACAGTGCAGATCAGAGAAGAAACAAACAAAGACGAGACATTGAAAGAACTAAAAGAGACGATACAGAAAGGATGGCCTAAAAGCAAAAGTAACTGTCCAAAGAAAATATGGGACTATTGGAATCACAGAGCGGAGCTTACAGTGGTGGATGACATAATACTCAAGGGAAGCAAGTTTGTCATTCCATCCTCACTACGAAAAGTAATGCTCCAAAAGATACACGAAGGCCATCTCGGAGAAGTCAAGTGCAAGCGCAGGGCCAGAGAAGTTATGTATTGGCAGAGAATCAACCAAGACATACACCAAGCTACTGCGTCTTGTGAACTTTGTCAAATATATAGACCAAAACAACAAGCAGAGCCGCTGATGCCTCATCCTGTGCCTTACCGACCGTACTACAAAGTGGGAGTTGACTTGTTTGACTGTAATGGAAAGACTTTCATCGTGGTCACAGACTACTTTTCCAACTATCCTGAAGTCGGACAATTGCAATCTACATCAAGCAAAACAGTCATCAGCTACCTAAAGACAGTGTTTGCAAGACACGGCATTCCGTGCGAACTATTTACAGACAATGGCCCACAGTTTTCTAGCTGTGAGTTTGCTTCTTTTGCCAGTGAGTGGGGATTCGGACATACGACCTCGAGTCCTACGTACCCGAAATCCAATGGTCTGGCGGAGAGCTCTGTAAAGATAGTGAAAGGTCTCATGAAGAAGGCAGTAGACAGAGATGATTTTCAGAAGAGCCTGCTCATTTACAGGAGCACGCCTCTCCAGAACGGCCTATCACCTGCACACATGCTGATGGGTCGCCGCATTCGTTCCAACCTGCCAGTCAGTGAGGACTTGCTGACACCCAAAGGTGCATCTAAGGTGAGGAAGGAAAAGGAAAGACAGAAAGAGAAACAGAAACAGCTACACGACAGGACGGCAAAACCTCTATCTACATTGAAACATGGCGACCGAGTGCGTGTCAGAGACATTAACACGGGTACATGGAGACAACAGGGACATGTTGAGGAAGAACTTTCTCCACGTTCCTACAAGGTCCGAACCGAGGGTGGACTATCTTTGAGGAGGAATCGCACAGATCTTCGACTGCAACCTACTGTGGAGGACACAGCAGCTCAGGAGGTCGAGCTTCAACAAGACCCACTTGAACTTCCTGAACTGTCCAACAGCGATCACGCTGACAATGGTCAAACAGCAGCGTCAAAGTCACCCACTGCTGAGAGACTCGTGAGACCTCAGAGACACATCAAGCCACCGCAGAGATTGATTGAGAGTTGCTGAATGTAGCAGGGACTATTAAAAAAAAAAAAAAAAAAAAGTAGTCATAGAAGTTTGGTGTGTTGCCTGAGCATATTGTTTTCTTTCTTAGGGGGGAAGATGTGGTGTTACGTGTTAGTAACATGGGAACTCCAGTTCCCATGATTCCTTGCGAGTTACGCATGTGTGGGGGTTAAAGTTTTACTTCCTGTTTTGGACAGCCGCACGGGTGTGATGTACGAGCCTGCCGTAGCTACTTGTTCTTAATAAAAATACAAGTTTATTAAACACGCCTCTACTGTTCATCTGCACTAGAACAGACATAACAATCCCCACCGCTGTCAGACTGTACAATAAGTCACTTTAAATGATCACTGTGTGAAAACCTGCACTACTATTGACACTGTTTCCAATTGACACTTGTCACTTTTGTTGTACATAATTATTGTCACTTTCATTGTACATTATACATGTACCTTTTGCACAATCTGAGTGTCTCTATCCATGCCAAATGTGACATGTAAATTTCTCCTATGTGAGACAAATAAAGCACATCTTATCTTATCTTAGAATATATTCGAGTATTTAATTATAATTTATTATACAGCTCCTCACAGCAGCAGTAGAACACTTCTACCGATAATTTTTTCTTGATAACAGAACTCTCGAATCAATAATGACCGTTGCCCTTTGACAATGCAATCTCTGTTTGTAATCCAGGTGTGTAAAATACTGCCATTACTCCGCAAGTACAACGTGAGAAGCTAGCGGAGCTAGCCGAGCTAGGCACGCTCAATAAACAACTACATATCTATCAATCAACACCATTAAATGTTAATCGGGCAATACAGTATACATATACATCCTTAACACACATGCACGGACTATTTCAGAATTTCTTGTTATCGTTTTCATGACCAAATTACTATTTTAATGTGACAAAAAGCGATCGCGAAAAACCCGGAAGTAACCATTAACATGTAGGTTAGTTCCAGGGAGCTAGCTAGCTTAGCTGTTACCTGCCTAGCACGTCCCGGTGGAACCTTTGGGAGCTAACTATTTTATTTGCAGTTATTGAATACATTTCGAATTATAAGGACTGTCTAATATGTGTTCGAATATATATATATATTATTAATATATATATTTTTAATTTTAGAATTATATTCGAAATTTGAAGCCTAAGCCCTAGTTTTTAGCAGCGCTGTAGACGCTAGAGGACGCAGGCTGTTCACTGCTCGTTCTGTGAGTGGAGGAGAACGAGCGTTCTGCTCAGACTCTACTCAGCACTTTTCACTGCTTGTAATTCTTACACAGCTGAATCAATTACCTCAAGTTTTCAAATAAATTACGGATTATAATACAACTTGTATGTAGTAATAAGCATTTTTATGAACTACTTTGAAAAAAAATCGGGTATAGCTTCTTCTAAGTCTGAGTCCAGTATTACCCCTAGATTTCTGACCTTGTTTGAAGGTTTTAGGGAGAGAGACTGTAGGTGACAGATGACGCTCTCTCTTTGTTTCTGGGGACCAAAGACAATCATTTCAGTTTTTTTTCTGCGTTTAAGTTTTGCATCCACTCACTGATCTGTTGGATACAGTGAAGGAGTGAGTCCACTGGTCCATGTTCTCCTGCAGTCAGTGAGACATAGATCTGAGTGTCGTCTGAATAGTTATGATAGGACACTTTGTTTCTGCGTATTAACTGACCTAACGGCAGCATGTAGAGATCGAACAGAAGAGGTCCCAGGATCGACCCCTGTGGTACTCCACAGGTCAGGGCCATATGATCTGAGACACAGTTTCCAATCTCCACAAAGTACTTGCTGTCTTCAAGGTAAGACCTAAACCAACTTAGGGCGGTGCCAGCGATACCAACCCAGTCATCTAGTCTCTGTAAGAGGATCTCATGGTCGACGGTGTCAAAGGCAGCACTTAGATCTAACAAGATTAAAGAAGCTATACCCGATTTTTTTCCTAAGTAGTTCATAAAAATGCTTTTTACTACATACAAGTAGTATCATAATACATAATTTAACTGAAAACTTGAGGTCATTGATTCCACTGTGTATGAAATTCAGGCAGTGAAAAGTGCTGAGTAGAACCGAGATGAAGTTAGCCAAACGTTTGATATTCGCCTGATATTCGAACAAAATCCCCCTGGATTCAAAGTCTGTCCGTATTTTCAGTTTAGTGAAGAGTGTAGTATGCAAAGTGCAAGATTTGACAGAACGTTGCAGATGGGTTGGTGAATACAATAAAAAGGGTGTGTTTAAAAAGTAAATTTTCCCAGTTTTGATGGGTGTAGTAGCTCCCACTAAATGATAGCTAGCTACTACAGGTAAAATTTGGGAAAAATATTGTTTTCCCCTTCACAGTAACAAAAATGAAATTGGAAAAATTCACTAAAAATCAATAAAGACAGTTTTCCCAGTTTTGATGGGTGTAGTAGCTCCCAATAAATGATAGCTAGCTACTACAGGCAAGAATTTGGGAAAAAAAAGTTTTTCCCCTTTACAGTAGGAATAATGAAATTGGAAAAATTAACTGAAAATCAACAAAGATTTTTTTTCCAGTTTTGATGGGTGTAGTAGCTCCGTTTGAGCAATAGCTAGCTACTACAGGCAAGAATTTGGGAAAACAATTGTTTTCCCCTTCACAGTAACAAAAATGAAATTGGAAAAAATCACTAAAAATCAACAAAGACTTGTATACTTCATTATAAACTGATACTGCAGTGCATGATTTATTCAATCAGTTACTAACATTTAGTTAAGAGTTTTTTGTGAGCTTTTGTAAAGTGTACACTATTTACACTTTATTATACATTTGTTAAAGACCCTTTATCGTGACAATTAATCATTTGTTAATACTGCAGTGCCTGACTTATTAGTCAGTTACTAATTAAACACAAGGATGACTAACGTTTTTGTATAACAGTAATAAGCCATGAGACAAATGGAGCTTTCGCGAAAGTTCACTGTGGTAGACCCGGCTGCTGCTTGCCCAGACCTACAAGCCTGCTCATCCTCGACTCATCATACCAGCAACGCCCACATCTAATCAACCAATAACCACCAGGACAGCAAGTTAAAAGCCGGAGATGCCCACCTCCCGGCCTTCTGAAGTCTGCAAATATTCTACTGCTGTGGCTTTGATACAGGATTATTGCTGTTATTATCTACGGATGCTGCAACTGCTGCTGCTGCTTCATACTGCTACTGCTGCTGCTGCTGCTGCTGCTGCTTCATACTGCTACTGCTGCTACTGCTACTGCTGCTGCTTCATACTGCTACTGCTGCTGCTGCTTCATTTACTTTGACATCTCTCTTCACTTGCATCTCTTTTACTGAAACACTGAACAGCTACAACAACATTCTACTGCTGTGGCTTTGATACAGGGTTATTACTGTTATTTTTTAAGGATGCTGCTGCTGCTGCTGCTACTGCTGCTGCCGCGGCTTGATACAGGATTATTGCTGTTATTATCTGAGGTTACTGCTGCTGCTGCTACTGCTACTGCTGCAACCCACTCTCTCAGAAGCTTATCCTGCTTCTAATGGATGCAGCCCGGCTGAGTATGCCGCGCTGCGCTGGACTCGCACCTATACTCCCAGGGTCGCTTCGGCGGTCATGCTTCATCTCTCTACTTAATCTACTTAATCTTCTGATTCTATCAGATGCAGCTGGCCGAGTAGCTGCGCTGAGCTGTCAATCGGACTCCTAATCAAAGGCATCCATACCTGTATTCTTCACTCTTCTGATCGCAGGCTCCCCATCACGCTGCCCATCCTGCAGCGGCTCTGAGCGGCACTGAACTCCGGCTCATCTTCCAAGTACATGTCTGCCCTCCTCGCAGCATCTTCCTGCTCGCCTTCTATGGCTTCTCTGCATAAGCGAGTTCACTACTGCTCACTCAACCTTCAATGCGGTCCGAGACACGGCTTTCCCGACCATCCTCCTATCCTGATTATCTACTCTCCAACCCAAGATCCTAAGCGTAAGGGCGCCTACAACATCAATGGCCCTCTCCGATATGTCTCTGCCCCTACAGGTCTCCGCTTCTACACGGATGCTGCCCCTTCCGTGGGTTTTGGGGGGTTCTTCCAGGACCCGTGGTTTGCCGGGCCGTGGCCGCTACTTCCACCGGAGCATCTCCTCTGCCCTACACGAGATATTCCCAGCGGTCGTGGCCTGCGCGCCGTGGAATCACACGTGGCAGAGAAAGAAGATCTCTGTCATGTGTGATAATCTCGACGTAGTGGAAGCATTAAACAAAGGTCGCCTTCTTCACCCAACATAATGTCCCCTGACCATTTCAACCTTCATCTCAAACATTCAAAGATCAAAGGCGCCTGCAACATAATAATAGCTCGCTCCGACACATCTCTCTGCCCCTACAGGTCCATGATGCGTTACACTCGCCTCCGCTGAAAAAAGGAGATTTTAAACGGACCTCTAATTCTCACTCCAGACAACCTTCCCATGACAGCAACCTGGTTCAGAGCTCAGCTAAGATCCCTACTGCTCCTCTGCAATTTGTCTCCCCAGCTCTATACAGCCCACTCCTTCAGGATAGGCGCGGCCTCACTGGGGCTCCCCCACTCTTCTTTGCAACAGCTGGGGCGCTGGTCCTCTTCGGCTTCTCCACCTACATCAGGCCAGATGCTTCTGCTATCCTGGCAGCACAACGTCTACTGGCTTCCTCGTAAGCTCCCAGCAAAGCAATACGAAGCAAAGTAAGTGAAGCAATAAGATTCTGGTGGCGGCACGCACTTTTCTCAAACGCTCTCCGCCGCTGCAGCGTCTGACGGAACGTGATGCGAGCGCTCACGTTCCCAGCGCTCAAAGATAACTCTGCTGCAGCGTCCGGTCGAACGTGATGCGAGCGCTCACGTTCCCAGCGCTCAAAGATAACCCTGCTGCAGCGTCTGGTTGATCGTGATGCGAGCGCTCACGTGCCGGCGCTCAAAGATAACTCTGCTGCAGCGTCTGGTTGAACGTGATGCGAGCGCTCACGTT